TTTTTCAGAAGTTGTGCTCACTGTTCTGATTCAGAAGAGAATATATTCCTTCTGAAAAGACATGAGAATTCTCTTCCATGCAACATATGCACTTTCTGAAATAACTAAAGCATCCTGGCAACTATAAACCCTGAGAAATGACAGTATGAATGTAGTTCTGAGAAAGTCATGCTTTGAAGCTTGAAAGAGTTTACACAAAGTTAAAAGGATCACGTGATTCTAATTTTACAATTGTTACAATATCAGAGTTAATTTACAGCCTTGCATCAGTTTACACCATTAAATATTCATTCTACCAGTTACACTTACTGATGCTTGTTTGCTCATGTGCTTCTTCCAACCACAGAAAAATGCTGCACAAAAAGAATTATTGTACTAGATCATGCATCTTCAGTTGCAAATGCTCCTTTCAAAGACCATGTCTTTCTGGATCTTGCTAATTATTAGCACTAGTTAAGCAATCTGCACTTCCCCAAGGCAGTGACAAATACACATTTAAAGCAATTAAATCAGACAACATTTATAGTGATTGGCTAAAGCACAAAACAAGCATACACAAACCCTCTGTTAAGTTGTTTATCTAATTCTACGGCAGCTTTCTCTGCCTTTCTCTTGTAGTCTGTAGTCCTACCCACTACATAGCTCAGAATAAAAAGTCCTAAGGGGAAGTCACACAGATTTATATCACTGCTGGAAACTCTGCTCTGTTGCAAATGGTTTTGACTCTTTTTGTAACACATTATTACAATTAGAAATGGAGTAGCACTAGGTGGTTCTGATTTTGACAATCTAAAGAGGCATTTTTCACCCAACTTGCTCTTGAAAAATGTTAATACATGATTATGACATATGTATCCCTCAGTAAGTACTCTAAGTATTAGATTTGTATTTGTACATAATTAGAGTAAGGCTTAAAATGGGCAAAAAATCATACTTCCATTTCAAAATAAGAAATTAACTTTGAGAGAGAGACATGAACATATTGACACTATTTTTAGATAAGCAGGTAAGACCTGTAATTAAAGCCTGATCTTTGCCTAAGAAAACATCTGTTTTCTTCACTGTGTAATTAGTAAAATTAATGAATTCCAATCCATCCACACAAATGATTTTTTTAAGTTTGAAATCAATCACTTTAAAGCCCAAGATGCTTTTAGCTACACAAATTTGCCAAAAATTGATACTGTAAATCAAGTTCAAATTACAGCTGTAATTTTCTTATAGTTATGTTTCAAACATTTTTTAGCCTCCTTCCTCTATTCTGCCAATGTTCACACTTCTATTATAAACAAAACATATTTGTATCTAAGAAATTTGAGATGGCTACATACTAAATTAACCTTCTCATACATAATTCTTGTCAGAAATCTGATTAAGATCACATTTAACTGGATCATAACAGGAACTATGCTTATTGGGAGATTTGTAAAAAAACTATCCCCCTCTGAAACATTTTATTATATACAGAGCAGAAAACTGCTGAACAGTGAACACAATATCACAACGCAGATTAGAATACCAAACATTAGAGAAATTTCTTTTAAAATATGTTCTTAAGAAAGTGTTACTTCTAAGAATATTACATGGCAGGTGACCACACTTAAAGAGGTTAGCACTGGATAATTACAGACGCTGCAAACAATGGGGCTTTAGCAATCACCACTATTGCCATTGTATTGCTGCCATAAAGGGACAACAAAAGGAGGCTTCTATCCCACCACCTTTGGGTTCTTACTCACAAGGGCAATTCCGATTGCCCAAAACCTATATATGTATCTTTTCATCTGCTTTAATTGTTTCAATCTTCCTCTTCGACTCAGAGATATGTGCAGGGAAAACCCAGCTAACAATCTCATAAGTACTTGTTTTACAAATCTGGCCCTCAGTCAAGAAGTTGCAGTGAAAAGTCTTTTAATCACCTTTCTGATCAGAATTTACTGGATTGGATCTAAGTTCAAGGGTATTAAAATGTGCAACGGAGACTATGAAAAAATGGCTGGGTTATAGATTTTAACTTCTTAACTAGAAAATTGACTCAAAATAGATTTTCTAATTTACAATGAATCAAAAGAAAAAACATTAGACCATAGCAAAAGTGGCACAAATGTATCAAAAAGCAAATGAATAAACATTTGAAAAGATTTATTATTAGAAATCGTAATAAATTTTGGAAAGATGAATCGATTTTAGTTAAAAGGTATATCTGACAATTTATTGGGCGGGAAGATGCATTATTTTCCAATTGTTATCCACCTACAGTAAAACTGATTTGTGTCCTATTGTATTTTATGGAAAAGGAGAGAGCAACTTTCAGTGATTTAGATTAAATGTATTAATCATAACCAGACACTGTGAACTATATATCTACTATTAAAGAAGATTTTTGACATTTAATTCTGTAGCAATATTTTGGCTCTGTACCACTCTTCCTAAATCCAATTCCTGCTACAGTTGGCAGATTTCTCCCTTTTAATTTTATGGGGCTTAAAGTAGCATTTAACCACCCATGCGGTAAATAATGCAGGATTAGAAATATTTAGTGTTTTGTTTCCCTTTGAAGAGAACCAATCCATCAACCCTCAAATATTTAAAAAATATTTTCCACATTCTAGTAATATTTAATATAAGATTCAGTAAAATGTCCTATATAAATGAAGTTTTCCTGAAACAAAAAATACCCCACATTAAATACTAAAGAAAATATGCAGTCGCATCACCGATATAGGGGAACTAATTTTATAATGATACTGCTTTATGTACAAAGAAAACTTTAATAAAACCTTCAGAGTTTTTAAACTTGATAGTCACATAATATCTAATATTTACTCTCAATCAGAAAAAATACAGTGAAATATTCTCCTGAACAAGGCATAACAATATATTTTATAATATTTATGTCCAACTTAACACTGAAATGATAGTTTCTATTTATGCACACCCTCCCCCTCCTCTTTTTTATGCAGTCACATGCTATATTTTGCTGCATGGAAAATTGAGTTTAGAATAACTTTTCAGAAGCAATATTCTTAGAATTCTTTTAGGTAGTGCAAATATTCTTAAACTGCCTTATACCCACACCAACATGTAAATTCCAGGTTTAAAAAAAAAAACCACAAATAAGAGGTGCAGTATGACAACAAAATCTCAATTGTGACATGCACAATGCTTTATTTTCCATAGCATAACAGTGTGACAGAAAACGGGAAAAAGGGTTTTCTCCAGTTTGACCATATACTCCAGGGAATAAAAATGCAACCTACTTGAACATACTGTATGTATCTGTTTAGGTCTTTCTAAAATAAGGCTTTTAGAAGCCTTGTCCAAAGCAAACAGGTCTGGGCAAAGGGAAAGTGGGGCACACTTTCTCTAAAAAGCTCTTTAAAGTGAACTACATGAGTGTTTAAAGAAATACACATCTAAAGCAAGACAGCTGAAACAGTTTGCCCATCAGCTAACAGTAAGGAAAGACGACTCCCTAAATAAGTAACTTCCAGTTCTCTGAACTGAGAAGTTTCTTCCTTGACCTTTAAAACCAAGATCTGCAGGAATGGCAAGTCAAAACTGAGAAATAACAGAATGAGAAAGTTAGTCTTCTGCTTGTGAATGCAGGTGTTTAAAACCACCTGTCAAATCACCTATCCAAAGCTAGTAGTGAGAAAAACTATCCGCAGCAAAAATCGGATCAGGAGCAAGTACAAGAGTGCTGAGTCTAATTGCAAGGGGCTGAGTGGAACAAATTTTGAGCTGTTATCAAAACTGTTGGACTGAAGTGTTCACTTGATCAGTTACAAGCATTTACACTTCACTTCAAAAAGAAGCTAAAAAAGCACCTGCTATGTTGCAGCTGAAGGGACAGTAATTAACAGGCAAGGACTAATACACTCTTGAACCACTCCAGCTGCAAGTGCTAATGTTAATAAACCTTTTCTTCTTATCCTCTTTATTCTTAGACACTCTATGTAAATCGGCAACTAGACAAATGGTTTAAGAACACAAAAACTAATAATTATTATGCTTTTGAAAACATCATGCCAATGTTTTATGTAGGCTTTCCCAGAACATCAAGAATCCATGAAACTTAGGAGCTTTGAGTTTTTCTGTGACTCACCTCACAACTCACAGCCTTCTTAAAGCACTGATTATCTTTGGGAATGACCTTCCCATTCTAGGATTGCTTATCACAATTTTATTTAAAGTTAGCACTGCTGTCTCTGATGCTGGATAAATATGTTTTATTAAATGTTCACTTCCAACAGACCTTAGAATTGAAGATGCTGCAGAATATAAACAAGGCCTACATTTCTATAAAAAAAAGGTTCTGCATTCAGTTATATGCTTCCTTGCTGTAAATACCAAGTGGTAACTGTTGGAAGAGGCAATCCCTGAGAAGTTTTGAGTAATTTTTGCCTTCTCAAAACTACACTCTCAATATGCACATTTGATTTTCTTATTTCAAGAAACCAAACAGTAGCAAGCATGTCACTTTTCCAGCTGAGTCGGTACGACAACTGTGGTTTGCTCCACTCCTTTCTGGTTCTGTTTAACATGTTATAGAACACTGTCTTTAAATCTAACTGAAGTCAGAGCAATTAAAGAGAATGGCAGAGGAGGACTCTTCCATTCCTGTATTACCTCTCACATCAGAAAAGAAGCTAAGTAATTTTCTTGGTCGACTCAACTTCAAAACAATACATCATGTATGTTTCCTACTTTCATTTCTGTCCTGTATTTTGACATAACTTGATATATGCACTGCCATGATGAATTGCTGGAGAGAGTACTACAGATCCAGTTTAATTCACTATTTTTGCAGTACTTCTTACTCTGGGTAGAAGTCATACAAACTCAACCTCCTCTCCCCCTCCACCCCCCAAATTTAAATTGGGGTTTGCATTTTGGCTTTTGTTAAAAATCAAACAACATTAAAATATTTTCATCATTGTCTTATAGTAATGACTAGAAAGGTAATCTGCTAATGCTACCCATCACTTCACACAAGATTTTTGGAATATGTATTACATAAATGAAATTCTAACAGAACCAATGAAGAAAATAAATGAGTGCATCTGAATATCAACTGCTTATCTTAGAACAAATATAGGTGGTCACTTAATAGGCTTAATCTAGATACCTAATGGAAATCCTCTTCTTACCTCTGGACCTCTAAAGTGGCTATATTCATTATAGATGACCACCATATGAAAGGCAACATAAAAAAAATATTTTCAAGTTGTTCCACCTATCAACAGCCCTGATGGAAAAACCTATTCATGTGAATGAGCTACTATGAGTTGAATTACCAAGAAACTTCCAAGTGTTTAGGAACTGTACTTGTTTTTGGTTAAGAAATAAAAACCCAATGTGTTAGCTGAAATTCCTGGCATGATTTTCATGATTTACTTCATGTTTATGATGTTATTACAAAATAAATGAGATGTTGCTTATCAGGTAAACCATAGTATCTGTGCAGGTGTTCCTTGCCTATTACATATGTTTTACTACCTATTCTCAGCATTAAAGGATCAACTCCCCCATCAAGCTCAACACAAGGAAATCCAGCACCTAACTTGACTCTGGATACAAGATGCTGTTCTACCATTAACTGTTCAAAATGCTGCTCTTGAGGCATTAATAAGTTTCCAAAAGAGATACAACAGTGAAATCCTTGCAGAAAATATATTAAGTGCAATTACATTTAAAGGATTTATTTTTTCCATTAGAATTGCAAAAAAACATAAAACATCAAAGAACCCATAGCACTTGGGAAGTCAAAATAAGCAAATTCCAAACGTCTAGAGAAGAAACATTTCATACAGCCACACACCAGAAAGTAGGATTTCTTTTAAAGTGGCAGAAAACAAGACGAATAATCATGTTGCTTCATATTGTGAGGTCAGAGGTTTTAAAAATCATTATTATCTGTAAAGACTGCTGTAAAATTGTATTAAATGTGTTTTCAAGACAGACACTAACTGAAGAATGAAAGGGATATCATAATGCTATTTGTCCTCCTTAAAAATAAACTTAAGTGAAATTGTAGATGACAATCATTGGAGCGGTTGGGTTGAGGTGAATTACAAGAAATACTGCTTAGCCTAACAGTTCATAACACTTGTCACCATGAATAAACCACAGAATGCATCGAAAAAACTAAGCAGCACATTTGGCATTTCTGAGACTAATGCTGGAGGGCAACCGCTTTGCTGAAGTGGGATGCTGGTTTTGACACTATACTTGAGAGTCCAAGAAGAGACTAAGTCACCACATTCACTTCAGCTAGACAGAAGTTAATCTTTGATAGTTTAAGGCTATGCTTTGATTGTCACTGCAGGTCAACTATACCAAGAAAAAGCATTGTGAGCTTTGTGACACAGAGTTATCTCTTTTCGTGGTTATACATGAAAGATACTTACATTTTGTTAAGTATTTTGAAAGATACTTATATTTGATAAAGTACAATTGTTATCTCCACAAGCTATTAATTGGCTGCTGCATGTAAACCATTTTTTTTTTTTCTTGATAGTCACAGATTTTGTAAGAATCAAGGCAGGATACAATTCAAGACTCTACACTCTAATTTACAAGGTAAGTGATACAGAAGAACAAATAAAAAACCCAGTAACTCTTTTCTGACTAATGAACTGCAGCTTCTAGCGAGACAAATGCTGTGGTATCATTTGTGCCTCTTTACTGGTTTGATGACACCACGATAATTGAAGATTTTCATTAGACAATTTCAGGTGACACAAAAATCACTGTCACTTAATGCAAACAGTTTGTGAAGTAGACTTCAGTTAAGCACAAATCTTGTAAGTGATAGGTAAAAATCACAGCCCTTCATAACAATGACATCAACACTGACAAACCTGACCTATTAATTGCAGTGCTCTGCCTTGAACAATCACATACAAACCAACTGTGCCTTACATATGGACACTACTACTGGCGCTATTAGTGATGAGAAGCACTTTGAGAACTGACCTACCATGAAAAATGATACAGGTGTAATTAGGATCCTTTCAATGAGGAAGTACACTAAGCCATTATGAAAGTCACTAAGCAGCTTTAATCCTCCATCAGGTGCTTCCCATAGCAGATGGAAGTTACATTAGGCTTGCACTGGTGTAAGTGAAAGCTTTAGCAAAAATGCACTGGAAAATTAATTTGTGGAAAAAAGAAGCTCTTGCTATGTGGAATACATGGTGAGGATTAAAACGTGTAAGCACAGTGAGTAGTTCCTCCAAAAACCTATAGATGAAGTTAAAAATATCACAGATACCTCAACATTATCCACAATATTTATATTTAATTTTGAAACCTACATTGTTTATGATGAGGTTTTGAAATTTGACTGAAGCTTTCTTCCCCTTTGGTTCAAAGGTTTGGGTTGGAAGGGAAAGATCATCTAGTTCAGCCCTGCTGCCATGGGAAGGGACACCTTCTGCTAGATGTCAAACTATTGTTTTCTCATAAAATAAAGCTATTTCAACATGACTAAGTTCTGAAGTCTAGAAGTGTTCCACTTGACTCATTCCTCAGGAAAACTAGTATTTTTGCTAATAGTTAGTGAACACTGGAAGAATCAAGGGTGGGGCTTACACTGACATCACAGCAGCATCTCCTCTCCTAACAACCTGGATTTTTCTGCCTGAAAAAAACATATCTGCAGGACACACATAGGTACAGGAAACCAACCTCTCCTTAAGGAAGTTTTATCCCTCTACGTTGTAAAACTAAGGTATTGAGTTAAAGAGAGGATTAAAAGAGCATGACATTCACTACATTTTGCATAAGTAAATATCCATTTAAGGTAATTACAAACAAAAAAAGGAAAAACATACTGAGAAATGTTTTCAGTAGCTGAGAGTATTTCTGACTACAGGAAATCTTAATAAAACCATTTCAAAAAAAACCCAAAAAACCCTACACTCCTTACTTGTTTAATGGTAAATTCATTTGCAGTTTTAGCAGCATAATGTTTCAAAACCTTACCCTCAGAGGCCTAACAGTCCTCCTCATGAATGAATCAAAGTGTGGAATTCAGCATGTTTAGTTTTGTTATAATCTAATACCATCACATTTCCACAGAATTTGATATAGAGACTATTGCTCCAAATGACAGAAAATCATTAACTGAATAAAATAATTACACAAAGACAAATTATTTCATGCACCTTGCTGATACTTCATTGTTTTATCTGACTGTACACCACTCATCCAATGCAAACAAATCCTCCACATCACCAAATACACTTCAATTTGAAAAGAAGTGTTCTTTCAAAAGTTGCAGAGTATCCAAAGAGGCTTCTGACCAATATTGTAAAAAGAGTGCCCAAATTATTCTTTAAGGAAATATTCCTTGCATCTATAGCAAGATTTCTTACCCAGTAACATTTCACTTTATTTCCAAAATATTTTGACTAGAAAAAAAAGCTCCTGAAAACACCTGGCTGTTTCTTCAGTTAGAAAGAACTTAGAAGCAGAAATGTTTGATTTCATTTTACATTTAGAAAGCTATTTAAAACAGCACGAGTGCTTAATGCATCTTTTCTCCTAATGTCAATAGACTGTTAATCTGTCAACAATTTTTTCAAGAAAAGCTTTTATCTTTGAACTTTTTGAAAAAAAGGCACAGGATTTGACAGAAATACCCAGATACCTTCAGATAACAGGTCCTGGAAACATAGCTTTCATCCTTTAAACACATTTTGAATAATTACAACTGTGTATAGTCAAGCTCAGTAGCACAGCTGTGCAAAAAAATAAATCAATCCAGGAGTGCAAGACTTAATACAAGCTGTCTAATGTAATGAAACCAAACCCCACAACACAAAGGCGATGGATGGAAAAATTGGCAGTCAAAAGAAAGCATCTTTTTTTATTGGTCATGTTTTTTGCACTTTAGCTCAGTGGAATCACTTACCAGCTTCCAGCCCAGACAGGGAATACAGAGAGGAAGAGATGACACAGAAGAGCTTTTAAACAAAACCCTGCAATGTTTCTCTCTGTCTCAGAGAAGAAACAGGGCCTAGAATCACACAAGGAATAGCTAAAACAGCAGCACTCATTCTTAAAACTTATTAAAACAATTTCCACTTATTTGTATGGAGGAACTGTGAATGAAAGTCAAAATTTTCACTTGAATACTAAGCTGGGCAAAACATTTTGAAGAAAATGATAAAATAGTCATGTTATGTTTTCACTATCTATAATTAACTTATTTTCTTAAAAAAGGGTTTTATGCTCTCCCCAGGAATCCATCTGAGAAAAAAATGACAACCTCAATCATTTTAGGTAAAGAGGTAATTTAGTACTCTACATCATAGAAATAAACCTTTACACTTCCAATGCATCCAAAATGTTAGATTTCACATTTTACTCTACGAAATAGAAAAGATTACATGCCATTTGCTAGAAAGAACACAGATACAGGAGTAGAAAAGTGACGTGCATATAAACTATATGTCACTAGATGAGTGCCAAGTATATAAACATAAAGAACAGAAGAAAAAAGCATTCCTTCTAAGAAATCAAGTGTTTCATTCATGGAACAGTACCTCTAAATTGCAGGACTTCTGCCTTTTCCTAACATAAAGCAATAAGATTTGATGCAATATGTACCTTATTAGAAGAGTACATTAAATATAAAAGCAAAAGTATAATTTTCCTCATTTTAACTACAAAGCTACTACTATCAACTTGGCACAGTATTAGAGAAACCATATGCTTTTCTATTTCTTTTCAAATATAGTTTGCTGTCACAAAACAAAGCAATGAAGATATGAAAAGCCACCATTATAGTTGCAACCCAAAATACATACATGACAAACTACTTAATTACAGATTCCATTAAAAACGTGGCTATCTTAAATGAACTGGACAATTGAAAGGCTGTAAGCCAGTAGTATTGAATATTTTCTTGTTTATTTTCATTTTCTTGCTCAGCCTTTTCAGTTGTCATCTGCTGTATAACTCATTCAACCTGCACATTGGAGTAGGTAAGGATTTTTAAAGTATGTGCATGCTAGATTTTTACTTCTCTCTTTCTCGTCCAGCATTGTGTGATTATTAAAAAAGTGTTTTGACTCAGAGGCAGTACACCTGATTAAAGGAAGACCCATAAGTTTGCTCAAATTAAGCAACTCATCTGTGAAACACAGGAAGGGCTTCTGCAGAGAATCTAAGTGCCAGCTGTGGCTACCTCAAATTCAAGTTTACTGTCTGGTCCATAAAGAGCAGCATTCTTCCTCTGATGCTCAGATGCCACTGTACTGTGAACATGAGGTGAGCAAGCAGTTTCCTTGGTCCACAGCAAGCAATAGTCCCACTCCTAGCCTGTCATTTCTCTTACAAAAAACCACCCAAACAGTTGGGCATTAAACATTTCCTGAGACTGGATGAGGGTATATCGAGGCATTATCATAGTTCTTCACTCTGCCTTCCCCAAACCTGTGATCCCCAAACCAGGCTTTGCTGGCTTCTATAATTGTGAGCCTTCAACCAAGCTTTTCAAAAAGCTTCAGCCTTGACTGTATGAAAAAGGCCAACTGCATTCTCACATTCCTTGGATACAAATTACATATCCTTAGACTGAACAGAAGATATAATGTGTATCTTTTAGGTAGTGTATTTTTTTTTTTTAAACACTGTCTCCCCTTCAGGTATGTGTAAAAGCAGTGATACAGACATCAGACTCCTTGCTGCTAGAAGAGAATTCATTCACACCACAATTCTGTTCAATAACTTGAGTCTGCAGTGTTCTTTCCTCAGGATATTAATCTTTCTTAAAGCATTCTTGCTCTTCACTGTTACCATCTAATAGTAGTAATTACTTCTTGCTCTGTGCTATCAGATGTCACAGGTATTAAATGCCTTTTTTTTCATTGGATTTAAGTATCTAAAGAAGCTTTCCTTTAAGAAGGAATCACTGACAAAAGGAAGCACATGAGCTCTGGTTTATATTTACAAAGATAGATAGAGCAGATGTGCCCATAAACATAAATAGTTATTAAGGAGGTCAGAAAACTGCATCTGCAGAGCTAACAGCACATCCCTTCTATTTTCGATTCCTGCCTAAATAGTGACTCAGAAGCTACATTCACATGCCAACCTTCTTCCACAATATCATGCAAATGATATATTTAATAACTGGAGGTAACTGAATTATCAGTCTTTAGTAGATTGGCCTGGATTTTTGTTATAAAGGGAACTACAAAACCATCATTACATATGGGATATCATGACTGGAAGACAAAATGGGCTCCTAAGGACAATGCAGAAAGCATAGCAGAAAATAAACATTAGGATTTTTTATTATATACATGCATTCACAGTATATCTTCATCAATTGAAATTTAATCACCTTTTTACAATTTAGATGAAAAGGAAGGTTTTAGAGTAGTTAAGCCATGTATCATCAGTACCATGAAGCTAACCTATCAGTTATAATAGCTCCTATAAAATACCAGAGTGAAATTGCAATAAGCCTAGAAAATGGGCTACAAATCCCAGATATGCTCAAGCAAGCACTGAACCAAAAATAAAAATAGGTAGATAGGAAACCAAGAACTAGATAGCATTCATCTAATTCACGACCACTAACAGCAGAGATCACAGGACAAGGTTTTAAAGCATCTTATTCAGCTCCAAATAGCAATTATTGGACAGGAACTTGAATTACAAAAACCTTGCCTCTTCAAAACGAATTAAATTTCTAGCAGCTCCTTTCTATTCTCTAGATATAGTAACTCTTACATTTCTCAGAAGCAACTTATGTAGTGTAAGCAACTTAAATCTGAAAGTATTTAGTGTTGACAAATAATAAAGAATATCTGTGTTGCAGTATTTATTGTCGTGGCCTATGTTTATTACACCTTATAAAGGATCTCCCCCATTCTTGTCTTCTTCTAAACATTCTTCTTATAAGAAAGAAATAGACTGGGCTATAAATAATAATTTTTTTTAAATTTAAAAAGTCAAATGTCTTGTCGCATCATGACCTTCTCCAAAGAAAAATTAAAAAAACTATTATTAGAAACTTATTTTAGACAAAAGCTGTAAGAAAATCCAAGTATTAGATTGAACAGAAATGCAAAGACAGGTGAATTGTTTCCTCTACTTATAAACATTGCTCCTAGGGCTGTAGGTACTAAAAAACCCCAAACATCCTATTTGTAGTTCCAGCTTTAGAACAGGCTCAGTCCAAAGAAATGCATGATCTCTATGGCAGGCACATAGATAAGCTGCTTTATTTTTTTTTTTTTGTATATATATACCTTTTTTGCCTGACAACACAGGTGTAAACCAAAAAAAAAGAAAACAGGGACATATTTTTCAAAGCAGTTTTTTGAGATAAAAAATTACTTGAATTGTACCACAATGCATCCTGGAAGTTTTTTTATTATCAGAAAAGAAATTGATTTGATTTTCATCACAAAAGTGAAACATGTTTTCATATAGACATAAAATCTATACTGAAAATAGTAACTTATATACATCCACCTGCACTGAAAACTTTTTCCTTTGCTTAGTTCAAAACAAGTACTGAGAAACAGTATCAGACTTTCTTCTGCAGTGGGATGCCAAAATATTTAAAAAGAGTAAACATACACCCAGGAAGCAGTGGCACCAAGTCTTCCAGCTCCATTACCCATCCATAACGTCAGGGAACAAGCATAAGAGGAACATGCTTTTCTAAAAACCTCTCAGAACAGTGCACATGAGCTTGCAAAAATGAAAACACCTACCAGAGCATTATGGTTTCCTGAAGCCTTTTTTATGTTTCTTGCAGGCACTCCATGAAGATGACTACATCTACTCTGGAAACCTACAAAAAAGTACAAGTTTATTTAAGAATATTTTCTCTACCATAGAACAGATAAAATTCACCATTACACACCAATCTATCAATATAAAATCCATTAAACAAAACCATTTTATTGGAAAATATTTTACTGGTGGAAACACAGAGCACAGAATGGTAAAAGTTAGAGAAAGAATAAATTGTCATGAAAATTGACATTCCTGCAGCTATTCTTACTGCCATCCTGGATCTATGGACAGTTGGCAGCACAAGCAGAACATACTGAACTACAGCAGAAAAGTGATTTTTGCATCATTTCCAACTTCCTTACCACTAGGAAACATTAAATCTGTCCAATCTGCAGAGACCAAGTCCTCCAAAGCAATCCAAGGATCTAGAGAATAAATAATCCTCACAGAAGGATTCAATACATTCAGTGTACAAAGTAGTTTAAAAGTGATTTGACCACTGCTCAGATTTTGTATTTGAATGGGAAAGAAGATCCTTGTGGCAGAGGAGGGTACAACAAAATTCTTTGGCAGTAAGCTGAGGTCTGACAACTTCAATCTGTGGACAAGAATGGGTTCCTAGCTGTAAATGCAATCCAACACTGGTAGAGCTTACCATTGGTTACACTGGATGCACAGTGGTTGCAAGTATTTTAGAAATAAACAAAAAGGGTCTTTTCTAAATTACAATCTCAATCCATGCTCTGGAGGAACCCTTTCCTCTTCTGTACAAACAACATGGCCTGACCACAAAGCAAAGCAGATGGTCACATTAGTCTCTCCAGTCTTTAAAATTAATGAACTTCTATAGAATTCTACACGTTACAGCAGAAGCCAGGAGCAAAATGGAACATGAAGTTTCATTTCAAATAATGTTGAAAAATTCTCAATGCAAGCATTGAGACAAAAGAGCAGGCCATTAAAATGAGCCATTTTCCATCTTCTGACTCCTCTAATAATTGACTTTGAGTTATTTCTCTCCAATGATATCTTAAAAATGTAATGGTTCAAGGAAATAAACAAGTAACTCCAAGACCTTTTCCACATTTTACATATTTCATATTATCCACAGATATCTTTCTACTGTTCCCAAGTTATTCTACAGCTTGCATTTGCTTGATTGCTACTTACCTCTCCTCCCTGAGCGGGACATAAGAGGAAAAGTACCAGTTAAGATGCTTTCAAAGACTGGATCAGGCAATTCTCTTTCCAGTTCTGTGGAGTCTTCTTGTTCCCACCATGGAATGACCCCTGTAATTCCACATGCTCCACCTGGTTCGTTTTCATGAAACCAATCACTCTGCTCATCATCACCTGTGTGAGGGCAGGGTCCCCAAACCCCCCAAAAAAGAGGGAGGAGCAGAGAAGATAAAAATCAGATGTTACCATCAATAAATACTCTGACAGGATTATTATTTCTTTTGCTTTATAGCTGTATAACAATTACTCCTATATAGCAGTTTTATTTGGAAGATGTTTCTCAATAGCATGACAAACATTGCCATCAATGAAGCATCATAAAATGTAATGTTTTAAAACCAATTTACAATAGTGAAAACAATAATAAACTAGTTAATCCTTTTGGCAATAACTGTGGGGAAATCCATTTAAGTTACTGCACTTTACATATTAACAAAAAAACAAGCCTTAATCTCTGGCAGGGAATTAAAAGGTATAAAACTGAAACTGGTTCTTTGCAGCTGATAATGGTATATAATTAGCTTAATTTCATGATTTGTATGGCTAGTAAAAAGGGAAAACAATCATGAACAGATGTGACTGAATGAAGTTAATCTGATTAAGTTCATTTAGAAATAAGTTTTGAAAAAGTTGATTTTAAATGAAAACTGACAGTATCACATGATTGAGAATTATACTGCATTATAACACAAAGTTGGTAATTTTTACTGACAATATTTATCTATGTAGATTTAAATACCTGGATTTAAATTAAGAAATAAGACAAGACTTAAAATACAAGACTGAAAATCTGATCTTAAAATTAGCTCATAACCACACTGGCAACTAAAACTAAATTTTTATGTTTGTTTTGAAAAATGGTGTTCTTTCATACACACCATCTATTTTCAGAAGAACAGAAAATATCTTCAAAAGACATGGGAAATTTCCTTTCCTCTACCCAAAACCTAGATTAGGTATGTGCTGTACATTTTATTCTTCAAACTAACCAAACCATGTTTCATTATTTCTGCACATAAATTATTTCTTTGACATTTCCAATTTTATTTTGAAATAAATTTAAAAAGATACAAATGTAAGATTTGTGAGACACAGATTTCAAGAATACAAAAGCATTTGTGCAAAATTTCATTGTCACTGAATGAAATGAGTAGGGAAACACAAATGATGAAAACCAAAGCCAAGACTTAGTGAAAAATAAAATCCAACACATTTTCTCCAAATAAACTGTTGCAATGCAACGAATATTTGAGATCAAGCACAAGTGGAAGTATCTGTAAACATTCAATCAGGACAAGTACTTCTAGAAAATATAGAATAATTAAAGCCCTTCACTGGTCACCTGCAGATAAAATGGGATTCTTACACATTCAATGATCATTACTACAAGCAAAATTAGCAGAGGCTACAGAACAGGAACTTTTAGATGGAGGAAGGGGAAAACACAGGTGAGAAGAGATACATAGGTCAAAAAAAGATTTAAATTTCTTTGCATTCCTGAAGCATTTCAGCCTGCTCTCCCTATTTATTCTAATCCTCATCTATAGTTATGACATTTCACAAAGGCATTGACCATTAATTCCATCCTCATTTTGTTACAGCCAAGTGTGGAACTTAATAGGGACACTGGTGGTGGTGGAAGGAGAATGACACCTTTTAATTAGATTGGTCTGTGGTTCAGAGCTAAGGGTGAAATCTTTTGTTTTGATTTTTCCAAACCTTTAGGTTTGGAAACACTTTCCAAACTTTTATGTTTGTTAAACTTCGTATCTGTATTTTGTTATGAGAGCTCCAGACACCTTCACTAAAAAGATATACTATCAGGAGCTCATAAGTGGTCTTCTCACACATAATTCATCCACAGAGGTAAGCAGGAATTCTGAAATGGGGGACAGAAGCTGTAAGAGGCAGTACAGTCTTGGAAGAAAGCTACAATTTCAGACTGGGTTGCTGGAATGTGCAATAAAGCAAAGAGCAGCTGTGGAAGGAAGCTCAGATCTTTGCTACATACCCAATAGCAGTTCTTGGAAAAAAAAAAGGAAATTACTTTTCCGTTTTGTGCAACAGAAATATTAGTATGTCAAGCAATCTTCTGTTAAGATACCTTAATTTTTATGCTATTATACACTTCCCTAAGCACTTCTGTTGCTTACAGCCAAAGGCAGACTTCAGATCTAAACCTCTTAGTCGTTTTCCACATGACAGAAGGATCCAGATATACTTGGCTTTTAGCTTCCTTGTCTGTGAAATTAAACAACTCTGAATCCTCTGAATATTTTAAATCATATTATCACCTGGAGGCAAGTGTAAGCCTATTACTACAATTCTTGTTCAGGTGACAACACTCACAGGTATTTTGCTTACCAGTTGCCCCACCTTGAAGGGATGCCACTTTCAGAGCCAGGGAAGACCACTGCATTTAATTAATTCCCTACCTCATACATACAGGCAATAAAACACAGAGGTGTCCCCATCAAGAGTTTGGTAACTAAACACTTGGATTTTATCCTACTTTAATTTGCAGCTCTCAAAAGGCAGCACAGTATTCATAGAAAATGTGATCTTAGGGATACTAAAAGCTCAAAGTAACATTTTTGACTTCCAAACATTCACTACACTGTCCTTTCCTCCTAGGATGCTGATTCAGCACAGGAGTACAGCAAATTACAATAGTTTTCCAAGGTACAGGAAAGGTAGAAAAAACTCCAGATCTCCAAAAATAGAGCCCATGCATCCTCCTAAACACATTTTTAAAATACATCAAACTTGTTTATGTGTAAGGTTAGTGCTTCAAAGAATTACTTTAAAGTAATTTACATTCAGTTATAACTCGCTGATCAGTACAATAAAGTCAATTTAAGGCTCAGAAATGTCAACTTCAATCCTAATATTTCCAGGCAGTTTCTGGCTTACTATTTTTTTTTTTTTTTGGTTATTTTTAGGCCATTCCCTCCCTCCAATTACTGTTTCCCTAAATTTCACTCTATATTATTATTTCTATATATTTATCCAACTACTGCTCTCATGTTAAATTCCTTGCCTTCTTCTTTAAAAAGTTTAGAACATTATTTTTTCTGAGCTTCTGGTGATTTTTCTATGGATAAAGACAACTTCGTCATCACCATCAGTTTCATGTTCAGAAAAGCTTCACCTGAATATTACTTTAGCTAAAGAAGTGGAGTTTTACAACAAACTTTCCACCACACACTAACTGAGAGCTGTACCCCGCTTCCTGTTTTATTACAAAATGGCCAGAGCAGGCTCAACAGCAGCCAGTACACGAGCTTGCCTACAGTAAGCACAACACACTTGGAGATGTTGCTGTGAAAATTTGGCATCAGTGTCCTACAAACACCACGTGATACTGTGCTGCTCCATTATCCACCAATCCACACACAGAGAACAAAAGCACAGGGTCTATGAATACCCCAGGATTTTAGTGTCATTTCCAGGAGCAGTATACCTCTTTCTAGGTAAAAAAAAAAAACAAACAAAAAAAAACAACCCACTGTTAAAAGCTGTAAGAATCATATGGAGATAGCAGATATTCAGTGTAACACATCCCAGGAGTTTCAGGAAAGCAGAAGCTGAAGTTACCCATTCACAGAAGAACACTGCATCTTGCTCTTTGTGCTTTACAGAGCTATTTTGACAAAATATATATTTATATATAAAAGACATACTATATAAATATTTAGGATTTCAACTACTCAGGTCATATGCAAAAACTTCATGTTATTTCTTTTTCATTTGCAAAGATTATAAACTTATTTGCCACAACAGTTCAAACCTGGTGTGATTTCACTTTGCATTGCACACTCCATTTCTTTTCTATATGGAGTAACACATCCTGTCACCTGCAGCTACTAACATGCTGTACAAGGTCCAAATTAGTTCCTCACTAGAATTCTTTTACTGAATCAGTACTGGGTCATCTTCATAAAGGACACAGTAATGAATATATGTTTAATGGTAAAATAATGAACAGCTATCTTTAAACACTTAGCCACATCCACAGCGGAACTCTGACATTCTCTGACCTTCTCCGATTTTAACTGTTTAACACTTTATTAACATAATATTCCTTCCTACTTGCTTAGATCTTAAATGACATTTCAAGTGCTGCATGCCATGATTTAAGAAGTCTTAAGTCAACTTTGAATTTCCCCAAGTGTACGAGTATAGATGAACCAGGAACACATAGTATGTTTTCTTTGCTATACCCAAGCTATAAAGCTCATTAAAGAATATCCCTGCAATTTAACTATTCCCGCAAAAACAAGGTATCATCTACTAGTGTCTGAATAACAATACTTCTGTTAATATTGTGTTGAAAGCTTAACTTGTGAAGTGCCTTTGACCTGTGAAGTGCCTTGAAACTGCAGGAGATCCTACTAGTTAGGCCTATCATCGAGTTGTTATTTTATGCTGCAATGTAAAACTAGACATTTTGTTCAAAATTCTTGTAAAATTTTCCTATACTAGGCATAACACTGCTTATCATTAAAGTTTTTAATAATTGCAAAACAGCCAAGAAAATACAACCTGGAACAAAAGGAAAAAAGAGGAAGAAAAAGGGAAGTCATGAAGATTTCTCATACATAAACTTCAGCAGATATTCACGTCTCTCAGTTACTTTGTTGGCAGACTCTTCTACCTCCATAATTAAAAGCTCAATAGAATCACAATATTTTGGTTTTTTTCCTATTAAACCTTATCCCTAAAATGTCCAATTTGAAAACCTCTGAAGAAAATACAACCCATAAAAGGTCACTTGACGTCTGTTAATAGTTCAGCAGCTACCTTCTTCCCTCATATTACCATCACTAAACATTTTCCATTATCTTTAAGCTTTTGCTGACTAACTCTTCAGGGTTCGCAATGTTTCACAGAATAAAAAAAAATGCCACATTGGGCCTGCTAAAATTGAGCATCAATTACTTCTGCCAGAAGGAATTACCACAGTGGGACAGAGCACAGCAAGGGAGCTGCTTGTGCCCTCTCACATGACCTAATGTAAACACTTGGATAACTTGGAAAAAGAGGGCAAACAAGGCTGGGTTCAGATGGGAACTTCATGGGAATCAAACAAATCCAGAAGACTGGAACAGAGAAAGGAAAAGAGTACAGAAATTTTAAAAAATGTTAGATGGCACAAGCACATATTAGAAGTTGAACAGAAGATTTTCAAGTCTCAACAATTTTCTCTTATCATAGCAACTGATGAGAATCAAAATGTATCTAATATAATCCAAATTAAAGCTACATGTTTCTATTTCTTTAATCAAATTATAAAAATTGAAATTCTTCTGAGATTCTGTCAACAGAAGATTAGGTACTGTAACAAAATTTATTTCCATATCCTTTCTGAAAAATTTTGGAAAATATTACAGGTCACAAGATCAAGCACTCCAAAGTTCATAGCTAAATACTCAACTATTTATTTAAATGGTAAAATGCTGCAAGAAATTGCTGCTTTAGTTACTTTCCTGTCTAGAATGTGTGTCCCAAAGGATGAATTTGGGAATTAATTAAAGTTTTATAAATACTATTTGTCTGCAATAAACAAGATGTGGTTCTTAATCTCAGAAACAAAACAAACAAATATTGCCCAGAAGAAAAGGAACCTCTTGTCCTTTGCTACCCATATTTCTAAGTGATGGCAGGCACATCATTTAAACCAAGTATTTCACCAGGCAACATTAATCAATCTCTGGTTCTCCACTTGACTTAGCAGAAACCTGAAGTCAGAAGTGCAGAAAATTTGAACTACAAATGAGGTCAAGATGCTGATGCTCTGAACATAGATATAGATATATATAGATGTTAAAGATTAGATACAGATGATATAGATATAGATGCTATAGACACAGATATAGATACAGATATAGATACATGTGGGAATCCAGAGCTTCCCTCTGGCTGCCCTGGCAGGTCTGGGACCCTGGCGGGGGTCAGGAACCCCCCTGTACAGAGCCCCCAGAGACACTGTCTGTGATCTCTGTCCATGGAAAAGAGTTTTCAATCTTACAGGATGAATTACCAGCTCTGAGTGTTTGATATAAGTAATAATTAAGTGTGGCACGAGTGCAAAAGTAAAATTTTATGATTCTAGGTAAGGGGTCCAAAGGGGACAAGATGGAGGTAATTGGGTGTGTTTTGTCCTTTTCCTCCTTCTTCATGCCCTCCATGTTTCACTGTAGTGTTGGCATTTTTCTGTTGGTTTAGGCTGGGGACACACTGTTCAACGTAGGTGACAGATATTGGCACGTTATTGTAAATCCAGCACAGGTAGTTTCTGGTATTTAATGTTTGTACCATCCCACTGAGGGCAGAGCCCCACACGCTGCCCTGCAGGACAGACCTGCAGCAGGGCAGCAGAACATGTTAGAGATAAACAGAATAAACAACCTTGAAACCAGCACAGACGAATTATGGCTTCTTCTTTGGCAATGGGGCAGAAAGACAGAGACTTTTTACAATCTCGGAATCACCAATACCACAGATTCCAACAGATACAGACAGATATCCTGGAGGAGGGACACTGGTAAAACAGGAATTAAGACTCTAGCTTTAAAACTACAAAATAAAACCAGCAATTCCTTCCCTTAATACATTTTCATCAAAGGAAAAGTTTTGTTTATCACACCTAGGCTTTTCCTTTGCTTCTGTCAGATTGACCTTCTCCTTCCTTCATTCTTGTCAGTTTTGTATGTGTCTCAGTTCAGCTACAAATCAACTCACAAAGATAAAATAACCTCACCTTACTTAAGGATAGTACAAATTACTAGTATTTACTACTGGGGGGAATAAGCATTATTAGAAAGTCAACAATTTTGGTTTTGAGGAAGGATCTCTGATAGTACTTTCCTAGAGAGAAAGTCTCACAAAACCAAAACTATCATGCAGAATTAAAGGCATCTGAGTTCCAGTATAAAGCTAACAGTCTTCTGATCATACCCAAAAAATTATTAGTCCAAAGCAGAGATGGAAAAAATAATGTTTTGTCATGACAATATCCTTTTCGGGTTTAATTATTGGGCTTTTTTTTAATTTGTGTTTCAGAATACATTTTCAGGTCTAATGCTTTCTGCTTGAAAATTGAAAACTGAAACAAGATTCAAATATTAGACAAAACTAAGAACTACAACTCCAAAGAACCAACACTAAAACATGTAACGCCACACCCCTGAAAAAACACAGTTGGTCACTGATCCCTCCTGTTTTCTCCTCTCACTAGATATATAAGAAAACCAGAAAGCAATATGTTTTCAGTCATATTATTCAAAAATTTAAACAATACAGTTCAGAATTTAAGGGCAAAAATAGCCAGAAACATATCAGAAGGGTACTGGAAAAACATATGCAATTAGGAAGTGTGATAGGTCATCTTACATATAAATGTAGAGAACAAATGCTTTAAAAATTCCAAGTCAGAAGAGAAATTCAAATAGGGAAGTAAAAGCAAATCTGTTTGACTCATACTTAAAGACTTAAAGCATTGTAGCACTGAACATAAATCAATCTAAACCAATCTAAATTTTCAAAGAGAATCCAAACTCTTAACAAACCATGAGTTAGCACAACTGAAAACAGATACTCAGGCTGGGAGGTACAGTTTGTGTAGCACAAGTTACCATTGAACAAGGAAGGTAACACTTCTGTTTTCGGTAGGAAAAATCCTCTCCCTGCTGAAGATAACCTCAACCCCCAGGAAACCAGATGGAATTAGAAATTAAAAAGAAGGGAAAAAACCCCCAAACATTCCTTTAACCTAGTTTTGTGAAATGGGTCAGGATTTGATTTCTTGCACACACTCAAGTAGTCTTTGGCAAACTGCGTAGAAAATACCCTCTGTTACCACTACTTAAAATTTCCAACAGAAAAGCAAGTCTTAAATACTTGAGAGACTATTTTTTGTCTCATTTTTGTATCCTGTCAAAGATAGCAAGTTCCTACTCCATCATAGCATAATATAGGTAAATGTGTTGCAATAAAGACTAAAGCTGATAAAAATACCAACCTTTTACTTCCAGTCTCAATAGTTTTATCACAGAAAAGCACGAGAGAACATTATGCATACTAAAAGAAAAGTTTCAATCTTCACTGCATTTCAGATTAAAGAACTTTTTTTCAGAGGGAGATGTTAAACAGCTTGAATCTCAGTCTTAGACTGCAGAAAAAGTAGTTTGTTTGAAATTACTTTTCACACCAACTAGTGAATGAAAAAGAACTACAAAAAAAACCCCTATCAGTTTGGAGAAAAAGAAAGAAAAAAGCCATCTCAAGAATAGCATGAGAAGCAGTACTACAATCAGTACTGTCAGATAATTGGAGGAACTAAGCAATTAATATAGATGATTTTTAGAAGATGCTCAAGTTTTAAGTAACTATCATTTTACAGAGGCTGTTTCTCAACATAGCTTTTGACTAAGTCATGTATCCAATACATCCTCTGATAACATAAAAAAAAAAAAAAAGCCAAAACAGAAAACAAGCTATACTTCCAGCCAGTAAAACAATAATAAAAACTGAAATACAATAATTAACCTACAAAATAACTTGTAACGCTTACAGAATTTCAACTGATGTGGTTTGAGGGGTGGAGAAGGGAAAGATTGTTTCAATACCTTGTCTTCCCTCATCATTGGTAAACAAACCAGCATCACTGCTGCTCAGACTGCTGGATTCACTGTAATAAGAGAAAGAGAGAAACAGATCAAAAGAACAATTGATCTTTCAGTCGTAAAATTTTAAGGAGACAAGGTTGTGCTCAGATTGAACTTAAGCCCAACAGAGATCGGAGAGAAAATAGAATGATTTTTTTTAATCAAACTGCAAATATCCCAGTTCCATTAACTACAAAGCGTATTATTTTTGGCACATAAAACCATAGGAATCTAATGGTACCCTGACAGTAAGCCAGATGTGTCTGCAACGAGGTGCTGACACAATTGATGCATTTTATTATCTGCTTCCATCAAATGCTCACTGCTCCCTTCTTATACTGTGCAATTCAGCTTGATCCTGGAACACCACTGCTCAATAAAATAGGAAAAGTCTCAATCAAAAGCAGCCTAAGCCTTCCTATAGCACATGAAATATAAGAGTCTGAAAATCGAATTACCTTTCTGAACATAATTTGCAAATATTCTGGAAAAGATACTCCTTAAGGTTTCATGACATACTACTCAGGGAGAACAGAAAAAGTTTATAACAAAGGTAGCAAATTAAATCAAAATAAAGGTCACCCTGAAGACAATAAGTATGATTCATGATCATAACATCAACAGCAACAAAAAAATACAAGGTACAGTTTACTTTTTTTATGACTTCCAGCATGGCCTTAGAATATGTGCATACAACATGCACACACATCTCTAAATTCAAAGACACAAGTAGGTATTTAGTTCTTTGCAGTATGCACATTGTTACACACAATAATCCACTTGTCTCTAAATAGTAAATCAGACTGGTCTTTTAATAACACAGATAGCACTTCATTGAGTTTTACATGAAAGGCCCTCTCTGTAAACCCTTTATTTCACTTCTTATCAAGCAAGTAGCTATGTTAAGGAGGTAATATTCTCACAAAAATTTTTATCACATTTTACTTACTTTGAGATACAGGACAATTTGCAAAAAAACCCCAAACACTTCAGCACACAAATTCAAGTACATTTTATAAATACCATGCTACTCTTGATGTGCCCATACAAGCCACTCACAAGAACTTTATGTCTGTTTACCTTTGTATACTCATTCATATTACAATTTGCATGCTGTCCTATACTTGAATTTAACTGTTTCCAATTATTTTTTTCTATCACATAACTACACTTGAGGAAATTATTTCCTTTTAAATTCCAATTTCTCACAAAAGCAAGTCTTGGGTTTTTAAAATATATTAATATATTAATTATTCATATGAATATATGAACTATATAAAATTCATCTAATTCATATTTAATTATAAGCATATGCATGTTATTTAGTATCTTCCTTTGGGAGACACTCCAACAGGATTTGAAACACAATATGGTATTTTAAAATCATATATATACATACATATATATATACATATATATATGTGTATATATATATATATATATATATATATATATACATACATATATATACACATAGCTCTGTGTTTGAAGATTAAGTTGCCTCAATCTTTGCTGTATCTTAGGCTTATCCAAATTCTTGATGCATAAGCAACATTTACTCTATATCTTATCTATAATATACATAATAGAATCAGAACAGACTTAATCACTTGCTCAACTATCCTAAGCAGAAGTAAGGTGATGTACATGCAATGAGAATGGAACCATCTTTTGTGAGGGGCACCAAGACTTGAACTTTCTAATATTGCAAGTCCTAGTAATTCCCTTTTAGAAAGCATCCCATCCTCACTTTCATTACAACACAGACAGCTTTACTATCAGTAAGATTTCATTGTGCACAATTCTACATCATCCATTTCAAAGGAAACAACATCCCTTCTTCATAGATTCTGCTTGTGCATTTATTGTTTAATTGCATGTTTTAAAATAAAGTCAAGAAATCATTTCAACCCTGATATTTCAACCACTTTCCCAACCAAAATCTCCAATTTTGAGAACAACAACAAAAAAAAAGGTAAGATTCCCTTTTTTAAATAAGATATTACAATTGTGAAAGAATTGTCACTGAAGGACTAGTCAGGACATGAAAACATAACCACTTGTAATTTTTGAAAAATTTGTAAAAAAATATAAGAATTCAAAATAATACTGGCATACCCGTGGCAGCCAAAACATTCACTCTCGTCAGCCCTCTGTCACATTGGGCAGTGATTACAGTTGAGATAATTGCTACATAGCAGTCATTTCACTGAATAAATTCAAAACCTCTGGAATTAATACATTAATAGCTAGGTACATGAAAGCTGCTATAATGGAACATATTTCTAGTTTTAATATAATTTTGCAGTGTATCCTGCTAATTCCTTTGCTTTGCAATGAAAATTCTATTCCCAGTAAGACTTTCATGAAAAAGGAAAAACCTTTTAGTCCTCTAAAATAGTGTGTGAAAGCAAAAATTTGGAAGGAACAGCTAAGCTATCCAAAAAGCTTTCGCATCCTTATTTCAACACTTCTGGAATCAAAGAAGAAATACTTGTCAAGTGCAGTTCCTATGACTAATGAGCTGTCTGGTGCCTTGGCTTTATATGAGACATGGGAGCTTTATGCTGTCCCCAGGACTGACCAGCTCCTGTTTTCCTCCTGGCCACAGTGGGTGGTGCCTCCCAGCTTCTGCTTCTCTTCCAAAACAGTCAATTAAGATTTCACCTCTCTTTAGTTACTTCAAACACAAACAAGTGGGAAAGCTTGTGGGAATTAAATAGCGCCCAGAACATCACACACTACTGGATTTGGCTGAAACTGACCGAAAGCCTGAGGATAATGATGGATAAGCTCTGATCTCAAAAATCTCATTTCTAGTGCTTAAAACAATCATCCCAGGAATTCACCTTTGGGATCATTTAGGTCCTGACATTTCAAGAGTTTGAAGACTCCTCCTCCAATTTCTGAATCATGCACTTAAAATCTGGTTATTGCTGGTTGGTGTTTGAACACTCACATACAGAGATAAAAGACTGCCAAAGAAGTGTCACTTAAGATTTTTCATGTGCATTTCCAAAACACATTATTTTCAAATAATGTCATGTATACACTGAAAACTTCTGACTGGTTTTAGAACCGAGCAATTGAACTCCCTTAAAAATTATCAGCTTTGTTTTGTTTTAAAAAAACAAACTTCGAAAAAATTAGTCCTTTTTTTAAGAATTGCTGAACTATTGCACTGGATATTACTGCACACATTACTGCATACAAAAGCAGCTTTGTAAACTTTTAATCCTTCCTCTTCCAGCAAGCGTTATCCAAGATGCTTTCTTTGCACTTTGTATCTTGTACAATTCCATCTTCCCTTTTAAAATCTAAGCTTTCACTTTCAGAACTTACTCTCCTGTTTGCTGGTTATTTCAAATTCTTCTAGCTAAACGATCTCTAATAAAGGCACTAACATACAAAATATTCCAATACCGTATCACCTGAGAGCCTTAGATACAGCAGATTTCTAGCCACACTATGAAATTCAAGTTTTGTAATTCAGTGATTTCAAAACTTTGTGGTACAGCTGACCATTGAAAGAAATTCAGCAGAATGACAGACCATCACTCAAATGTGTGCATGAGCAGAAAAGCCTATGAAGATGAGAATGGTTTTAAAGACTATTTACAAGCATTTGGAGTATGACTTGAGCAAAAGCAGCATTTGGGGTAACAAAACATCAAGCACTTTGAAGAGGAAGATCAAATTTTAAAACAATAATGTTTCTTTTAAGAAAGAAGATTCAGACTGACCTGATTAGCTCGGTTCTGGGACTCTACAAGAGATATCCTTACTGATCACTCTTCTCTCCACCCAAAAATTAGCTATAGAACTTTTGAGTTGAAGAACTGTTACCCTTGTAGCATAACAAAGTATTTCATAAATAAAAAATGCAAGAAGACTATGGAGATATGAAAAACTATAAAATGGCTCCTAGTGTGAGGGAAATTTTTAAACATCTGTCCCAGACTTGGAAGACCAGACTCCTAGTATTGTCAAAGAAAAAACAAGTTTTCTAAAGGCTTCCTGACAGCACAGTCTTCTAACTTGTAAGTCAAAGGGAGATGTCTACACTGGCTGCCCTGAAGGATGAGTTCTGCTCTAGTAATTAACACAGAAGGAAAAATGTTTATGGCTTGGGATTTATTCAGCTCTTCCAGCTGCTTCTTGTTCACAGGTGAGGGAAAGGGCTAGTACACAACAAAAAGACTTAGGACTTTTCTGACCATAACTGGAGTTAGTCACTTACCAACGCTGCTGCTATTACAGTAACCAATCTGACTGCTTTGGTCAAAACCACTCTCTGCATCTCGATTCTACCTGTCCAGTAAGGAAAAGGCTTAACAGTTTATAGATAAAATACCTACAAAAAAAAGAGGGACACCAGTGCCATCAAGGAACTGATTACAATTATATCTTTCAAGATGCGTCTTGCTGACACTCCTGCATTCAGAACCTGGCATGTGGAATAAACAAAACCAGGCTTACCAGGCCCTACAGTTAGCATTCCCTGTGTACAGTGGAAAAATGACTTATACCTTACTGTGTTGTCAAAATAGTACTTTGGAAACAATTACCACTGTAGTATGACTGCTGTCTGGAATGGATGGATGAGGTGTACTGCCAAGGGGTCATCATTCCTCCATTTTTCTAATGGTAAGCTCAGGTGTTTCTGAACTGTAAATTGGTTTTTGCATTTCGTAAATGATGTATATCCTTGGCAACCTGCAGACTTTTTATGCCCATGACACACCAGAACATACTGCCTAAATGGTGACTCTAAACACTGACAACCCTTCTGACAAATAGAGATAACAATGTCTAGAAATTGGAAAAACACAAAATTCTTATCTGACAACTGTTACCAGTTGAAATATCCAGAAAAACCTCTGCTATTTGTATGTGTGCTTTGTAATTCTTAATCTGGAAACAATTAGAATATATTATTTCACAAAACTGTTTTCTTCGTTATTCCTCCGCTAAATCACTCTCTATTTTATGCTGAATTCCTTAACCTGAACAACTAGTACGCAAAAAATAGTAGATATAAAAAAACTAAGAGTAATTTGTTAAAACAGATACTATTGATGCTAGAATTTAAACTCTGGAATCAACAAAAAAATCTAAAGATTCTCAATACAAGCAATAGTAATAAATGCAAATAAATATTATCCAAAGTTTGTCTAAAAAGAAAAAGAAAGAATAACCTGTCACTCATGTTCTCATCTGAGCCTTTTTGCTCCTCATATTCCATTTTGTCCTTATTTGCTTGATTCACTTCTTCATTTTCTATAACTACTCCTTCATCCAAGATTTCTGGACCTTGGCGAGCTGCAGATACTTTTCTTTTTTTCACTTTGCTCTTGGAAAACTCTTGGTGCTGGTATGATTTATTGTTATTGTCCATTTCTTGATCTCTGCTGTTATCCTGCTGCTGAGTTATTGTCAGTGCATTAGAGACTTCTGATGGCAGATCTATTGCCATGCGTTTTACCTTTCTCCTCCGGCGCAAAGTTCTGTTTCCCAAACTGTCCACAGCCAAATCTGGTTCGTGCCAAAGAGGTCTTTTGCCTCTAATGTTATTTAAGTTTGAGGAAGGCCTACGTTTAGCAACCAACAGCTGGTCATCAGAATCACTGTGGTCTTTCTTGGTAGCATGACTCTCCCTGTAGTCTTTGTTTGATTCCTCTAAACTGGAATCAGAGCCTTCACTTAGGCAGTGACCAGTCTCCCAGGGGTGATGGGTGGTAAATGAACGTCTTTTCCGTCCCCTCCTTTTCCTTGCCTGTCTCTTTAGAAGACAAGACACGCTTCGAGAATGATCTCCAGTATCAGCAAAACCTCCTCTGGCTTGCTCTGAACTTTCTTCCAGTGCGGAGACCAGATCATGAACCAGCTCCTCCATAGTCCTACTGAAATGCCTACAGATTTCAAACGGGAAAAAACACACAAGAAAATAACAAATTAATTAAAAGTGCTAAGCATAAACTACAACAATTTCATTTGGCAAAATTGTTTTAGTCACTTCAGGGAAGGTAGAATAATTTTTATAGGATGGCCATTGACTCTTCCTGCCAAGAGACAAAACCTTGCCATCCAGTCCTACAGAATTTGCAGCACATCAGCATAAGCTCCTTTTAAAAGGTATCTTCCCAAATTTCTGTCTTGGAAAGAAGAGGCAGCCAGGGGGTTCCCCATTTGTTTCTGGCCTCGCTCTTGTTGTTTGGTTTTAATTAATCTCATCACACTTATATGACTGTCAGGAATTCCACATGGCAAGAGCATCAACAGAGATTCACTCTAACTGCAGGTAAGGAGTACATTTTAAATTTAAGAATGGGAAATGGAATGCATAATATTCCCCTTGATGTACATTAATGAGTTCTTGCTTACAACTTTCATTATGAAAAATATTTAAAATAATGTTCATCTCTTAATGCTGCCTAAATGCCAAAATGAAGTTAAAACAGCAATTCTTGGATAATATGACCTTTTTCCCACTAGCAAATAATTCTGTCCTTCCAAATGTCTGATATCTGATCAATTTTTAAAAAATAGCAATTCATTGAAGTTATATTAGGTTGAGAGAATACCCAACTAGAGATAATTCTAGAGTATTAAATGCAAAATTTCCTACCACATGTAGGCACTTGCATCCATAGAATCCCATGCTTACATAAGGAAAAAATTTCTAAACACAGTGTCAAATTAAGGCCTTACCCTTTTAAATGTTTTGCTTCTTCCTCTTCAAATTTCACTAGCATTTAGCATGTCTTTAACTCAGTATGCTTTAGTAAGTTCACCCATGCATTACATGAATGTAATTACAAAAACATTAAATGATTGCTGCTGAACTCTAATCCTTCTCTGAAGGCTGTGAACCTTCTCCATATACACAGCAATCAGACTCTCATATCAAAACATCAAAAGACCCCTTTCCTTGAGGTAAAGCAAAGAATAATTGTCATGCTTGCTATTACATTGCACAAACTGATACAATGGAAGGCATTGTACATTCAGTAGAGGACATTTAAAAGCAAGACTCTTCACTTTGTTTTACAATATAAATGGCTGGAGGAAACTATATTAAGTTTTCTACACATACTCAGTGGCGCTGTAGATGTGGAGAAAACCTAGACAGACCACAGACAGCTTCCCTCTGCCACTTAGCACATACTCCAAAATCAAAGGTACTAATCTAATGGTGATGGCTAAATGGGCAGCCTTAAATATTAATGGAGGAAATGAAGAACATGTATAAGAAGAAATCCAAATGCTCATGAAATATCTTACCTAAAGCAGTTATATATTCTCCTTTTAAACCATTTTCAGAAATACTTACTTTAAACATTTCAATTGCAGGAACAATAAAAGCACAGGAAGTGGTAGAATACAAGTTTACTTTGAATTCTTGAAACTGCTGTGCCACCTGTATTATTTCCCATACCTCTTTTCCTGTCCTGATGTAACCCCTAGTCATATTACTCCCTCTTAATATTTTCTTTAGCTCTTAGTACTGCAGAATTATATTGTCTTTTAAATAGTGAGAGAGCTCTGGAAAAGTATGACACCTCCTTAATCCACTTGGTTCCCAAGATGCTTAAACAGATGCATTAGCTTATGTTTCTCCATGGCTGTAGCTGCAGTGAGAGGGCACTCACCCCTTCAGGCTTCCTGTTAAACCCCCATGAGGACAGGCATCCCCAGAGGTGCACATATCAGAAATGAGATACCCTAAAGATGTAAGGGGCTTTTCTGCACTCATTTTACAGAAGCCATAATAACAGACAAACTGCAGCACATGTGGGTTAATTTGAGACACCAATTTCCTCAAACACCTATCCAGCTCTTCTGGCCACACACTTTTGCATCTATGGCAAACTGAGAGAAGTAGAGGTGCACCAAAACATGAACTTGTAGGCTTAAACCCAGATTTAGCTCTCCAGCTGAACAGATTTCTGCTAACCAGCCAGAATATGAACTAGCTTATATAAATCTTTTGCAGCCCATTCTCTTAGCGATCCTGCAGCACAAAGCAAAAGGGAAAGAGAAGACAGGGACATTAATGCCTTGCACCATAATTTATTATTAATTCCTTCAATTCAGTATCCCTAATCTGTATGGATAACTATGTCACTAAAATCAATGTAGCTCCTAGAGTGGACATACCAATTTACCCATATAATGGCATGAGTACGGTGGTAAAATTGCCTTAGTTCCAAAATACTTCAAGATCAAACACAATATATCCAGCTCTGAGTTTTATGTCTGAATGAAACTTGCCCTGAATTCCTCCCAAAATACTGCAGTAGAGATGGTGCCAGATCAAAAGATGACACTCAAGAAAAGTGAACATCCTCAAGTGTTTTGAAGTTAAGGGATAACAAGATTCTTGAATGAGTGAGCAGTAAAGGGACTTAACTTCCATCAAACTATGACTTTGAATATCATGCACTTCTCCAATTAATCTTTTTTACTGAATATCAAGTCTCTTCATTGAAACTCCTGAATTAAGATTTGTACAGGGCAGTGACCTCATTTGCCCTAAAAACTGTAGCTATGGTCTAATGTATAATACAACAGTATCATAACTGCATCACTTCCTATGCCAATCAGACTAATTAATACTTTAATTATTTCAACATGCTTCCTTAGGATGATTATAAAAATTACTTGATCAATTTGGGACAGTGCAAGCTCTTTTGCAATAGATTGAGAATACAAACACAAACTACTTCAGCTTTCTATTCACTTTGCACTTTCAACATGCCAGTGGTCCATATTAAAACTCCTCCTCCTGAAAACCCAAAAAATCTCTTTTGCTTAATTTTATTGGTGCTCTCATTTCTCCTGGTATAATTGAAGAAAAAAAAACCAAAACCCCAAAAGTGGTAGCAGCCAGATAGATTTCAGATTAACTGTTCTATCCCCAAAAATTCAAGAGCACATTTCTATTATAGCATTAATTATCAGACAAACTCAGTTTTGAAACTTTCTCTATTGTTCACAACCAGCTGTCAAGCCTATGAAGCGATTTTAATCATTGCTGCAGATGGTACTGTTACAAAAATATTTGCATTTGAAACAAGTTGAAAAATAACTACAAGAAGTATTGAGGACATTACTAGTGAGTATCAGCAGCGTTCAGTAAGATAAGAAATTTCAAAGGTTGTAGCAATGAATGTAGAACAACATATTGAGGTACATAAAATATTAAGATGAGCCACAGTTTAGCACGACTCACATAAGGCTATAAAAATGCTGTTACAGCAACAGCCCACAGCTAGCAATAAACTGTAATGTCCTCACTAGGAGAGGATCCTGCTTTACTACAAGAAAATCTAGTTTGTCTACACTGACCTTTACATTTATCTGAAGCAATTTTAATGTAGTTCACCAAAGACTGACCCATTTCCTCTACAACCCTTACCAGAACACACCATATACGTCCTGTTTGCAGAAAACAGCATAACTGCTTTCACCTCCTCCAAAACAGATCACACAGCTTCTGTTCAATATTAATATTAAAATTGAAAACCCTAATGGAAATAATGGGCACTCGCTTTTTCAGTAAATATTAAGTATCATCTGTGTCCACCTCACACCTAAAGCACATAACAATGCAGAGCTCTGACTGCTCACAAAATATTTAACAAACACACACTGATGGAAAAGTTAATCTAGTTGCACAACTCTTAAAGAGGCATTATATCTTGCCAAACCAACAGCTGCATTTACATTTGCTTTCTAGTTCTATACCTTTTCCTGTTAAACAGGAATGGGGCTTCTTGCAGCGAAATTCATGCTGCATATGTGCTTCATCAATTCCAAAAAGAACCATGAGTTTTACTCCTTCACAAACTACCTTGAGGACCAGCAAAAAGCACAAGAAAAATCAAATAGTTCCTTCCACAACAGGATTACAAAACCTGACTTCCAATAATTTTTTCCCATATGGATTCTCTGATGTCTCAGCTGTACCCACGGAGTAGCTTTATCTTCAGATAGGTACTAATTTGAATCCCATTTCTCCACCTCAGAAGTTAATTTCACAAAGTCTTAAAAGCACTCATTTTGAGAACTCTGCTTTATTAATGAGTGTGACTGAAATTTGGATTGAAGAGGTGCAAGTATTTGGGAGAGAGCAGCACATGATAAATCTCACTACCTTTCTTGAAGAATTTACAGATTCAAAAAAGAGAACTATCACGGTTCTTGGGATACACAAAGGAGGAAGCAAAACAAAGCGACACAATTAAGTAAAAATTATTAAAAAGCTGGCAAGAGACTATGGTAGATTAAGAAATCACTCATAAACCTCTGTTACATAGAAGCTTACGTTTTCCTTCTTCCCAGGTAACAAGATGATGAAATGACCTCAAGCTGCACATGAAGAGATTTAGAAAAATTTTATATTAGGAAAAATTTCTTCATTAGGAGGAAAAAAATTAGGAAAGAATGGTCAAGTATTGAAACAAATCACCCAGAAAAATGGTGGAAGTACTGGTGAAAGTGTTCAAAAAAAGTGTGGATGTGGCACCTGGGGACATGGTTTAGTGGTGAACATGGCAGTACTGGGGTAACAGACTCTGCCTTAGAGGTATTTCCACACTTAATGATTCTATGAGCAGAAATTGAAGCTGTGCCTAGACTGTTTAAACTTCCTGTCATTAAAAAGTCATCACTAAGAGGTGGACAAAGCATCAAGTTCCACATCCACACCTAGTTATGTCCTTTGGCACTATCTGCTGGACCACCAGGTATGCAAAGCTACACCACAAGACATCCTTTCCATCCCATATCAACCACCACTGCAGGGCATAAGAGCTACCTGTATTTACTTGTCACACCCGGTGCAGAAACAAGACATGAAAAGTTGGGAGGGTGCATTTCAAATGTTTCTGGTTGTTAGAAATGGTTAAGTTAGTAATAACTAGGGTTTGTAAAGACAAATTGAGAAATAAGAGGAGGGACTGAGAGGAAAGCTGACGTCTTTACAAACAATTTCATGGGTGAAGGTGTGGGTGTTAACATCTTTGAAATGGGGCTTAATGTCTCTACTAACTCTGGGCAGCACGTTTGTTGCAGAGCCCAGGCAGCTCAGCTCCTGAAACAAACAAGTGGGGATCTGGACAGGACTGAGTTTCTGAACTTTGGGGTAAAATAGTAGGTTCAAGCAGGGAATATGTGGTAGGCATTTAGGGAAGGCTGTACCTTCCTAGTACCTCAGCCAATGGGGAAAGGAAGGAGGCAAGGTGCAGCTGGGAGCTGAGGATAAAAGCAGGCTGTGTCCTCCAAAACCTCGAGAGAAAAGGCCACGGGTGTGTGCCCCGATGGACTCTCTCCTTTTATTGAATGAAGTTGCAGGACTCTCCTGTCTTTTTTTTTTTGGACATAAGCCTGTGGCATTTGTGGATTTTCCTGACGTGAGGAAGAACCTCCTTATTGTGCAGGTGACCAAGCACCAGAACAAGTTGACCAGAGAGTGTGGAGTCTCCCTGACTGAGGATACTGAAGAACATCTGGATGCAATCCTGTGCCCCATGCTCTGCCATGACCCTGCTTGAGCAAGGAGGTTGGACCAGATGACCCACTGTGGCCCCTTCCAGCCTGACCACTTCTGTAATTCTGCCCTATACAATACAAAGTAGTTCAGGAATTATATAATTTTATCACCGATTATACTGATGACCCCCCTAAAAATTAGAACCAAGCTAACATGCAGTAAGTACATCTGACTTCTAAAACTGCTTCTTATCTAAGAAGGCACAACAATAAATACTATCAGTCTACCCATATTTAATAGTGAAGATGTGTTCAGTACAGAGTAATAGCATACAGTCAGTAAGATGCTGACATGAACTACATTTAACAAGGCTCTAACACAAATGAATTGGTCAGCTATAAATGAGATTTGGAGCAATTTATCATGAGAGGGAGCAATTCTTGCAATCCCATTGCTGCCATTTACTGATATGCTTGCCCTTTTCAGAAGTATGACTTCATTAATTAATTGCCAAGGTGCCAAATCACATGACCTGTCAAATCATGGTAATATGCTAAAGCACCACAGTCATTATCAAAAGAATCAGAGTGCCCAGCAAGTATCCAAAAGGCAAACTATTCTTAAATTGCCACATGAACTCACAATTTAAAAACCATTCTTCTTTGGAGGAGCTTTACTACCCAAAGTGAAAAACTTTACTCTGTGGCTGTTCTGAACCTACTAATCTCTTTAGGATCTTAATGTTTTTATAAAACACAAGTTCTTCATTTTCTACATCAAGTATTAGACACTGTAAAAAGTATTTTCCTGCATCCCACTCAAACGGGCCTCCTTTAACAGACAGCTTCTGAAATAACTTGTGTATAAGAATAAGAGAGCAGCTCTGAGGAGTGGTCAGATTTTTAATGGACAACATTTCAATATTTTCCTCTGTACTGAATTCCTCTGAGCAGTGTGTACTTGCATAAGAAAATTTATTACTGTCTGATGACAATTACAGAAAAATATCCCTACACCTCATACTGCTGAGGGCTACTCTAGAAGCCTCTGCAACTAAATTACTTTATGTAGACACAAAATAATAAAATTTTAAAACAAATGACAGGTCAATAAATAGTGAAGACTTTGACCGAACACGTGTCTGGAATGTCTTGGGCAATGTTTCTACTGTATGCAGCATTAACACTCAGATAAAAATACTTGTGCCACAGGAGTATACCTCGTTCTCTGAAACATTCTGAATTACAACAACAGAAGTTGTTATATTTACAATAGGCAATTTTGGATCCCTAGCAACACCAGAAAACTTGTTCTAGCAAAATGATTAGCATCTGGCAAAAAAAAAAATCTTTGGAAGTTTTCTCATTTAGAAAAACGTAAATAAAAAATACTCACAGGGAAAAAAAATAGTAGTATCAGCAAAAGTGGAGGAGAAATGAAGCACTAAACCTTTCCTTTCCTCTTGCTCCCCGTCCCCAGAAAAGACTAAAGAAAAAGATGAAAGTCTATTTCAGCTGGGAAAATCTACCAGCAGGTATCTGTATATGTAACATAGTCTCTAAAAGATGTTATCAATCTTTGGGAAAAAACCCCACAAACAAAACCCCATCACAATCCTCCTTGCTTGCATTAATAACTGAAACAAGAAAGAAGCTACACACACCAGTTGATACCAAACATATCAAAAGATAGCCAACATTTCAGGAAGAAAATGAAGGCCTTCCCAGCTGGTTGCTTGGAACGTCTTGCTTTCATCAAGTCTCTCCACCACCAGTCTTTATAGCTGCACGGGGCACTAACAGAACTGACCTTTTCTATTCTGTTACTCAGCCTTCCTTCCTTACAGTGCTACAATAAAAAAATTATGGCCTTTGAGGTCACTGCTCACATAAGAAATTACATAAAACAGTAAATCTATGCACTTTTGCAGGAGAACTACTCATACTTTCCCTGCTCGATGGCTACAGCAGCACTTGTTGATTCTTGGCTTGCAGCAGAAAAGCTTTAGAGGAGGAAACACACACCGCGCTAGATGCTCAGCTACACACGCTGCAAGGGCTTTAGGCCCTAGAGAGCCTCCCACTACTGGAAAAACAGAAACAGACAGGAAAACCTAACACAGCTTGGGACAAAAGTTTTGATTCATCTTTCGCCCGCTGTCCCTTTTTCAACAAGGCGTGGAAGTTTCTTCCTCCAGCCCACTGCTCGCTCATAAACGCGTCCAGACACGGCAGTGGCACTGTCGGACCTCCAGCGCCTCGTCCCCCGGGGGCCGGGTGCGGGCTCCATCACCTCCCCACAGCGAAAGGGGCAGCAGCGGGAGGGGAGGCCCGGCCGGACCGGGGCCACCACTCGCCCCCACGCCCGCCCATGGCTCGGAGACGGTGTCCGGACCCCCCGGCAGAGAGCGGCCCCGCGGCCGGGCAGGGCGGCGGGCACGCGTGTCCCCCCGCGCTTACCAGCTCTTCCTCGCCGCCTGAGCTCGGGTCGGGGTAGGCTCAGCGACCCGGAACATGAACCCGGCGCCTCCCCCGGCCGCTCCCCGAGGAGGCTGGCGCCGCTTCGCAGAGACTGGGCGAGGGGAGGCGTGCGGGGGCGAGGGCGGGAGGGCTCGGGCCGGGCGGGGAGGGCGCGGGCGGCCGGCGCTGCTCCTCAGTCCCCCATGATGCGAACCCGGAAGCAGCCGCGGCACCGGAGGAAGCCGGACGCGACCACTTCGCCTCTTCCCTTTTTTTCGCTCGGCGCTGCCCAGGGACGCCGCGTCCCCTCCAGCACCCCCGCCTTGTGTTCGGTACAGCTCGGCGGAGCTCTCGCTGCCCCCGGAGCACTGTCCGTGCCGGGCTGCGCGGCCGCCGGGAGCAGCGGCACCCCCGCGCCCGAGCGCACTGGACGGTCCCGTTGCCATGGCGGCAGCGTCCTGCGGGCGGGAGCAGGGAGCGAGCATGGCCGCCCTGGCCCGGCTTCAGGAGAGGCTGGAGGGACTCCGGGAGGAGTATTTCCTCACGAACAGGTACCTGGGCAGTGCCGGTGGTGGGGAGGGATACACCGCCTTATGCTGGGCTGGGGCGGACGGGCCCTGCTCTCCCCCGGCAACGAGATAGAGGCAGCGCCCCTGGAAACTGTCCGGGCTCCTCAGCGCGAGGGAGACACGGAGCTCCTGGAGAAGGTCCATGGGAGGCCATGAAGATCATGAGGGAACTAGAGAATCCGTCTTACTAGGAAAGGCTGAGGTAGCTCGGTCTGTTGAGCCTCAAAAAGAGAACATCCTCCGTGTGCCTGAGTATCTGAAGGGAGAATGTGACCAGATGGACCAGGCTCTTCTTCTCAGTGGTGCCAAGCAATAGGACAAATGGCAATGGGTAGAAACTGGATGCACTGCAAGTTCAGTCTAAGTATGAGTAAGAACTTTACTGTGCAGGTGACCATGCACTGGAACAGGTTGACCAGAGAGAGGGTGGAGTCTCCCTCACTGGAAATAGTCAAGAACCTGGACACAGGTTCAATAATCTGGACACAATCCTGTGCCATGTGCTCTGGGATGACCCTGTATGAGCAGGGAGGTTGGACCAGATGACACACTGTGGCCCCTTCCAGCTTGACGCACTCCGTGATTATACGATTCTGTGAAACACTTTCGCTTTAAAATCCCTCTGGAAACTCCTGAAATTCGCTGAGCCTCGCAAGTTCCGCCCTCTCCAGCCTCGGGAGCCGACCTCCGTTCCCCTGTCCCGCCTCTGTCCCGCCCTAGAGGTGCTGTTCTTCCCCGAGCATCCGTCGGGATGCGGCGCGCCAGGACCGAGTCCCTGCTCTCGTGGCTCACATCTGTGACTGTGACTCGACGTTTGTCCTCTTGCAAAGAAACTACTTATTTCTAAATATTTTAAAATTTTTTATTTATTTATTTTTAAAGTTAATGGAAAGAGATCAGATCGTATCTGTTATCCTCGTCCTCACCAACTGGGGTGTTTTGTGCCAAGTTTTCTGACTCCCAGAATGGTAGTGGCCAACTTTTCCCAGACCAGATTTTAGGAAATTAAAAGTTGTAAGACTTACTTAAATATTGCAGAGATTTGTCCTATAAATCCTTTTATTCAGCTGCACTGTTGCTATATGTGTAATGAAAAAGCTAAAACAGAAACATCACACATGTTTAGCACAGTTGTGGTTTTTTATTCACTAATTAATGAATCATTTATTTTTGAATCTAATTACAACACCATTAGCGTGAATAACAAAGCTCCTGAACATTGCTAAAAGTTACAGAGATCAAGTCCTGCCTGCATGTAGAGTGTTGTGTTTTTCTGTTCTTTGCCTGAACTTTCACTCATACTCTTGTGGCTGTACACACAGCAGTTCACTAAACAAACATCAGTTGCAGGAGGCTGTGCTTGTATTTCACATATTTCAGGTTAGAAAGAGCAGTCTGAGCCAGACTTGGAAATCCATTGGAGGGCAGCATGCTTGTTGTTTGGGGATTTCTTTTTTGGCAGAGCTCTTCAATTGTTTCCCTTTTAAGAATGGGCTATGATCCGTCAGATTCAGAAAATTCAGATTTACAGCTGAGAATGCAAATGAGAGGATTCAAAGAGTCCAGTGCAGCAACAAGTCTTTGTAATGTTTTTCTGATCTTAATAACATTGCTGTTGTGCTTTATGCAGAACTCTGTTTATGTGAGAGGTATGAGGTTTCCTAAACTGCCTTTTTAGGGAAAGCATCTTTCTAGGAAAGATGCCAATGATGCCACAGTGCAAGAATACCATAAGCCTGCATTTTGAGAAATACCCTCAGCATAAGGATTAGAATATACAAGATCCATTAATTCATTCTCTTAAGTGTTATGCAATTTTATCACTCTACTTATTCAAGAACCTACTTTTATTTACTGTAGTATCTGTATGTTAGGTGCTTGAGTAGGCCTTTTTAACTTTCAGTACAGCCTTTGTGAAGTATCTGTGACTCTCAAGAGCTTAATTCAAGCAGTATGACAACTGTGTAATCTGATCAAAAGGGCAGGTATCTGCTTGAGAAGCTTACACCTCAAAACACTTCTGCTGGCAAGGGCAGCTGGAAGTGTTTGTGGAACTATCCTGTGAGAAAAACAAGTCTGGTTTTAGTTTGCTTCAATAAAATCTGATCCTTCTGATCAAAATAATTTTCCTCTAAGGAAATGTTTTCTGGAGGTGTCTGGTTCCTGTTGAAGACTAGGAATCTGCACAGGAAAGGAACAAGAAAACTCTCTAGCCAGTTTTGAAAACTGTTCATTTTTAAACAAAAAAGCTTGTTTTCCAGAGTTTTCAAGCACTGAGAATGTCTCATGCACATCAGACACTGAAATTTTGTGCCTATTTAATGTGATTTGAGATCACATGCTGCACCAGATGATATAAAATGAGTGGAGCTAATGTTTCTTGATCTCTGGTAGTAAATCTGCAATTCATTTCATTTTCAGACCTATAATGAGGATAATCCTAATTTATCAGATAAACGATAATCTGGTTAGTATTTACTGAGGCAATTAATGTTGACATGAAACTTTGTTAGGAGAGCTAATTAAGAAAGTGAACTAATAGTAACCTGAGCGTTATTTTTTGTCAGGTGTAACAAAGAATTTGGTGACTATGGTCCTAATAAAAATGGGAAAGAATAAAAATCAATGAAAATTAAAATTTAATTTTAAGTTCAAAAACTTGTCAATTACTGATATTTTGAAGCAAACAAAAGAAGAATGAAAGCTAGAGGTGATCTCATAGGTGAGTTTTACCCCTCAACATTGAAACTCATAATGGTAATGATTTCTCCCTCAGTTCTATGAAAAGTCTCCTTCAGACTAACAACATGTTTCTTTAATCTCTTTTAGTTTCATGGTCTTCCTTACATGACTTTTAGCTTTGTCACAAACACTGTAGATTCACAGTTTTATACGGTTATGTTATTTTTGTTATTACTCAGGCCTAATTATCATTAAAGCATTATCCACATATTTTACCTTCATGGAAGAAGTCCATGTGACATGCTGACATATACCTAAGTATTGTATGGGAATAAGAAATACCCACGCCCAAAACTTACATCCTCTACAAGCTGCAATATTCTTTGATACCTTCATACTATGCAGCTAATGTAAATTAAATTTTTTTGTACTACCACTGAATTACGTAGAATTAAAAGTGAAAAACCTGGTGAAAAGGATCCAAAACTGCAACAATAAAACATATTTAGAGTACTATTTTTGCTTTGGTTCTACATGACCATGCTGAGAAATATTACTACTTTTATATTTTTTCAGAGCTATAGATGAAGACAGAAAAAGAAAGTACAAAGCTGCTGTCAAGATCCAGCGCTGGTTTCGAGCATGCAGAGTACAAGTCTGTCTGAGGTAGTATATTAAGCCTCTCTTAATCCTTGATTCAGCATTGAATTTTTCCTCAAAATTTCTTATGGTATTACTTGATTTTAATAAAATTTGAGCATTTGGGAAAAAAAAAAGGCAATTAAATATAGGCTGTGGCATTGTAAGAAATAACAATTTTTGATTTTCAGAACTGTATACAATTAAAAAGGCATGATGCTAGAAATCTTGGAAATTATCTTCAGAATAAATATGCAGTATTGTTTAAGAAATCTTGTTATGACTGGGAGAAAAAGAAATAACTAGATATCCCTTGGATATGCTGTTTCAGAGACTTTTCATATAGAATCATAGAATATCCTGAGTTGCAAGGTCCCACAAGTATCTTCAAAGTCCAAGACGTAGCCCTGCTCAGGAGAATCCTGAGAGTCACACCACATGTCCAAATGCTTCTTGGACTCTGGCAGGCTTGGGCTGTGACCACTTCTCTGGGAAGCCTGCCCCAGTGCTCAGCCACTCTCTGAGTGAAAAACTTTTTCTAATATCCAACATAAATCTTCCCAATACAGCTTCAGCCCACTCCCTCAGGTCTTGTCACTGGTCACCAGGGAGAAATCAGAGCCTGCCTCTCTGCTTCCCCTTGGGAGGAAGGTGTAGACTGCCCTGAAGTTTCTCCTCAGTCTCCTTTAGGCTGAACAGACCAAGTGACCTGAGCTACTCCTCATGTGGCTTCCCCTTCAAGGCCCTTCACCAGCTTTTTTCTGGGAAATGCTCTATCAACACTGGGCTTGATCTTGGAGGTAGTTTCCAACCTTATTGATTCTATGATTTTATAACAATGTTACAAATTTCTTGGAAACTATGGTTGGTCCATTCTCCCAGAAAACCCTCTTCAATTTTTTTATGTCATAAGGCCAACTGGCCAAACCCTTCTGCTCAAACTTTTGTATCTTCATAAAACAGGGTGGTTGAGGGAGAGGGATTGTTGCAACTTCTAGTTTGACCTCTTGCCTGTTTCAAGTAATTGTACATCATCCAGACCTACTGTATGAAACCTAAAGAATTATTAGCTTAAATAACATTTACTACTTAATGGCCAATATTTCCCTCATAAGAAGATAGGCTGCAGTCATTATGTGCTCTTAGAAGAAATGTACTTGAGCTGCACCAGAGGAGGTTCTGATGAGATATTAGAAAGAAAAAAAATCAATAAAAGAATTATTAGGCATTGGAATGAATTTTCTGGGAGGATGGTGGAGTCCCTATCTTCTGAAGTTCAAGATGTGTCTGGATGTAGTGCTTGGCAATAAGATTTAGGGGTGATTATGGTGTTGCTGGATGGACAGTTGGACTGCATCATCTTCAAGGTTTCTTCCCACCTTGATTGGTTCTATAATTCTGTGATTGTCTCTGGCTTACTTAGGACAGCAGGCTCAATGTAGCCAATTCTCAGTGCTCTGAATTACCCAAAGACTGCCTTCACTGAGTGGAGTGCAAGGCTTATAAGTTTGATGTCCATAGTTAGGTGGTATGAATGATCACCTGTACAGCTTTTTCTATTTCTCAAAGTAATGATTTGATCATTTTTTGCAAAAATTTATGTGCCATCAATTAGGAATTTTTTTGTAGCAACACATGTATCTCTATATAAATAAATAAATTAAGGACAAAGTAAATATTCACAATTAAGCTAGGTGTAATTTTATAAAGCAGAAAGGTGTCTAAAAGTGAAAAAAGTATCTAAAAATTCAAGTGTCAGTAGGTTTTGTCAAATAGTTAAGAACAATATAACTGTGAAAATGTTGCATGAGAAAAAAATCCTGAACTGGTCAGATTTCTTGGTAAAACCATGAAAATAAAAGAATTTATTATGCAAATTAAATTGGCAAGACTTTTTCATTAAACTTTTCTAATAGTATACAGGTAACCTATGCTTTGCAGTAACCTATGCTTTCCAAAAACAAAAGTATGTGTGTATGAATAAATATATGGATATAATGGTCTCTGAGTGTGCATATGTATATATGTATATATATACATGTATATGTATAAAGTATGCTTATAGTGGTCATTTCTATGAGGCATAATACACTGTATGTTATTTTGATTATTATGAAAAATAATAGATCTGAAGTATGAAAAATGAATTACTTTGTTAATATGTTTCATTTTAGACATCTGACCAAAATGGTGATTTTGATACAGAAGTGGTGGAGAGGTTATCTAAGAAGAAAACACTTCAGAGAAATAGTGGAGGTAGAAAAGTACTTTTTAAAATTTTATTTGGTTATTGGTTATTTGTAGGATACGTATGAATAATTCATTCACTGATTATTAAATTAAAAACTGAAACACCATCCTTTAAACACACAGACACACTCTTAACTTTACTGTAATGAAAAGCACCATTAATTTCAGCAAGCCTACTTTTAACAGTCAAGTTAAGTCAGTGTTTAAGTGTTTGCAGCTCTGGAGTATTGGTCCCCAAACCAGCAATGAGATCTACTCATGCAGAAGTCTGCCCACATGATGCTAATTGCAGGATTGGAGCTTTAGAAGATGTTGCTTTTTTTGGTTTTGCTTTTTTTTTGTTTTGTTTTTGTTTTTGTTTTGTTTTGTTGTTTGGGGTTTTTTTGTGGTTTTTTTTGTTTTTTTTTTTTTCCTGGCAGAACTTTTAATTTTGAAAATAAAATAAGCCAATTGCTATTTTATGTTTTAGTGGTTTAAATTTCTTACTTAATGAACCTTGAAGTATTTGAGGTTTTGCCTTAAGGCACACAGCAGATCATAGTCAATCTAATTCCTGTGATGGACCTGAAGAGAGCAAAAGCTTGTGATAGTACAGAAGCGAAAACCTCTGCTAAAAGATTTAGGGGACTAAGAAGAAAATAAATTAACTTAAAATATGTGATTTACTTCACTAATTTATCAATTTATGTTAATGTTTTACAATAGTGTTAAACCTGTTAGTCATTTTTGATTAATTTTGTTAAATTGCTGTTTTTAAGTCAAAACAGACAATTCAAGAAGTAAAAAAAGATCTAAAATAAATCATATATTACCCACCAAAGTTTATACTCCCTACAAAACTATGATCTTGAGTATTAGGCCTCGTGTACCTGAAAGATTATTTATTTTTTCCCTAAGTCTATCCGTAATCTATGTAAAGATTTTCTCTCTTCCAACTTACTAACTGGCTTAACTAATAAATGATGAGACATCCCTTCAGTCAGTGGTTTTCACTCATCTTCTAAAAGTAATTATTGACTACAGAGCAGATAGCTGTATGGTTGCATTGGGTTCTGTTTCGAAAAAAGTAGGACTTCAGCTGAATATTATTCCTGAGTTTAAGGAAGGTTTGTTTAATCTAGGAGAGCTTCTGTAGAAGAGAGACATGATAATCTATTTTAAAATTTGTTAATGAAAAGAAAGGATTTCTGCAGTCTCTGAGACAGGGGAAGGAAGAAATCAACACGATCAAACAGATTTGCCTGTAATCACAAACCCAAGAGAACTAACATCATAAACTCCCCTCAGCTTTCTGTTCTTGAATATAATTCTAAAAAGTAAAATAAAAAGGTCTTTAATCAATAAAGCCTTGTGCATATTTAGTTCTTCAAGTAGACATAACTGAAAAACTTGCCAAATCTGAATTTTGTGGAATAATGTAGGACAAAAAATTCTGCAACTTAATACACACATTCTAAATCAGATGATGAATTTATCCAGTTTCTGGATTCCAGTACTTATCCAGTGCTAGCCAGAGCTCTAGAGGAAGAGAATCTCATTAGAAAGCTTACAAATTTTACAGCAAACAGCACAGGAAATGATCTTTTCCCCTCAAACACTACATTTTGTTTTTGCCATCTCTTTGGTTGGAGAAGACAAAATAGAACAGCTTGATTGGAAGCCAATCTGAGTACCACAGAAGTATGGGATAAAAAGGCTACATTCTACTCCCTTTGGACTGATGTATTCAGTGTGTTCTGGGGTGGACTTTAAATATAAAGTGTGAGTTAATACCTTATATTTGTTGTTTTACTATCTTTACTCAATTAATGGTTGAACTTGGAATATGCAAAGAGCAAAATCTCAGCAGCTTAACATAACTTTCAAGTTAAAGGATCAGGAAATGTTTGTAAAGAACTCTTGATAATAACTGTTGTAATGATTCCTGACTATGAAGCACAATGATGCATTTGGTATGATAGTTCCTTAAATACACTGGTCACTTTAAAATTTGTCTGCTGATAATGTTTGGATTGGTATCTGCTGCCAGCAAACAAGGCAAAGCATATGCACAAAATACCCATGATTGCTTGATAATAAATCATTTTAATGATTATATTCAAAATTGTGAAATGTGAATGGTACTGATGCGGAAAATAACAAAGGCTGAGGCTCATCAGATTGGCTGTCCATATGTGCATCACCACTAGTATTTCATTTGCTTCTCCTCTAGAGCCTCTTTTTTGATTGTTAAGATATATATTTTGTAAAAAAAACCTAAAAAACCTAACAACTATTTATGGCATTTATATGATTAAAGTTATGTGCCTTTCTATTCTAAATATAGGTGGTTTGATATAAAGCTTTGTTTTCTTATTTATCTCAAGCTAAAATTAAGAACTGCTCTCCTACAGTTTTCTTAATAACTTGGTTACATTGATTATGTTGGATTCTGAAAGTTTGCATGACCTGCAGGAAGGTATGAATATTAGAATCAGGCAAACACCAGAACATGGAACAAACAGTGGATCATTGTTTCTTTATTATTATTTTGTCAAAGCCAAGGAATCATTTGCTAAAGCAAGGGGAATTGTAATATTTCATTATTGTATGAAGCCATATTTTCAGTTTCCTTTGGAAGGAGATGCAGTTGTGAAAAGTGAATATTTTATGTTATGTAGTTTGGCACCACCCCCTCACACCATAGTGGGGTGTGCAAGATCAGACCTTAGTTGCCATTGAGTGGCAGAGTTCTTCAATACTTGGCCAAGCTCAGAGTCAAAGTGGTCCCACATTGTCTCTCAGTATGGATGATATAAAGAGCACTAATGATGTAAGGTCTCTAATTTATGTTCCTCAAGGAAATGGGATGCATTCAAACCTAAGTGCTCACAGCTTTAAAATATGAGAAGAATAAACAAAAAGGTGGAAAATTGTTTAGTTTAATCACTGATGGACAGAAATCTGATTAATCTTTTTAAACTTAGGAACATTTTAAGCTTCCATTAAAATGTATTTTATCTATTTTGTGGTGTGGTAACTCTTATGTTCACTTCCAAAATGAGCTGCAACCCAAAATTGTATCAATTTTATCAAGCAGTTTAGATAGATGCTTAAGTCAGGCAACCATAATTTCAATCCATTATTAGCTATTGACAGTTACTATCACTCAGTAAATACTTATGGAGAATAAAGGGGAGAGAGACAGTCCATTATTCTTTCTAATTTGTACATTTGGGGTAGATTTTCCCTTGAATATATACATGTATATATCTGTGTATGTATGCACATCCACACATATGCGTGAAACTTCTTTGAACTTTAACAGTTCTGCAATTTTCTTTCATATAAGAAATATATTTTGTACTGTTTCCATTATTAGTAGATTGGTATGATATTAAAGTGAGCATTTAAAATGCACCTTAATTAAACTCCAGGAATTATGCCTTGCTTAATGTAATGAAGAAAGAGAATTTAAAATGAAGTAGCATCATTGTGTTCATTTGTAAATAACATATTGCAGCCAACTGTTTCTTAATTGCCCAGACTGTTGATAAATAATCCAGTCCTGCTGCTCTCCACAGACAATTTGCTTTGGATCAGACTAGGCAATTCAAATAACACTAATTACAGTGAAACCCTTTTATAGTGAATTCCTGTTTGCCATGGGGGAGAAAATCACTATATCAGGGGAAAGCACTTTTGCCTTTGATTTGTGTCTAAAACATGAGAAACACATAAAAGCTGCATGTTGTGCTAAATAAAGGACATACTCTTGCATTCAAAGTACTTATATTTTACTTTTTATGATACAATTGTGAATTATGTTCATTTTGCATTTGTAATTAGAGGGCAGAACAGATGTGAAAGCTTAGTTTAAAGTGATGTATCCATTAAAATAACCTATGCTGCCAAGTGATTGCTTAGTATAATAGGGGATTCGTTCACTATGAGAGGAATTCTACTTTATTGGAAGGAAACCAGGACTTCAGGAAATGTTTTCTATATCAGGGGATTCACTGTAACATGGTATCATTGTATTTATGATTTTATGATGTTAAAATGCATATTAAATGAAACAAAATTCCCAGCGATTACTCGGGAGGCAGCTAAGTACATAACATTTAGTACAGATGGTTGGAAGGCACAATTTTGCTCCATCACTGCATCCGTATCCTTGAATGATTTCGACTGAAGACAGCATTTCTCTGAATTTTTCATTAAACCAGACATCTTGAAATATGAATTCCTTTTATGTTTCTGTGAGTTTTGGCTAAAAGAACCCCAGTGAATAAATCATACAATACTACATGTCACCAGCACTTGTGAATATTTCTGCTTTGTTATTCTACTCTCAGTAGAGCACCATTGATTATCAAACTCAGCGGAGAGCATTTTATGATCATATATCTCCATTAGCTCCTAGTTTGACTACCATAGATTTTTCTGGTTAAGCCTGCATTATGTATTAGGAAGCCTATCTCTTCAATACAAAGTTTGATTTTATTCTCTCTAAGCTTAGAACTCTTATTATGTATTATGTATAAAGATTCTTATCTTTTATATGTAAAAATAGCAGGACTGTCTTTGTGTAACTGAAATATGTGCCATCTTTTTTCTTTTTTTTTTGATTCACAGAGAGCATATTTTATTAAGAAGCTGAAATTCTACAATGAAATGGCTGTCAGGGTAAATATTTCTTCACTTGTTAAACAAATGAAAAGTCAATTGTGCTCCGAATTTGCTTTTAATAAAATGAGCAAAGCAGAATAATACACACTTGATTGATATGCTGATGGCAACAGCAGGAAATACTACATAGTTAAAAATTAAAGTTTCACTGAGGAGTCAGGGTTGTATTTGAAAACTGTAGCTGAATTTGTGGTACCTGAATGTGTCTTTCCCCATTTAAATGCCCATTGGATCTTATCATGTATGATACTGATAAAACCCCCAAACATTCTATCTGCCAGTGTTCTTACAAATGTAAGAACATTTGTTCTACAAAAGTAGACATATATTTGCAATTCTGACAAACTACAGGGCTGATAAGCTTGTTGATGTGGCTGTGCTTTTTCTCTTGCTAGTGTATGGTATTTGCTGTATTGAGTCTCAACAGTTAGAGAGCACAGGACAATTTCATTGCTTAAACACAGAGGTGGAACTGAGCTGATCTCACTAATGATATTAAGAGTGAATTTTACTAGCTGAAGGAGTGCATAAACAGACTTTGAACTTCATTGAATCCACAGCAAATGAAGTTTGTTGTGAGTGAAACTGCAAAACATATTTAACTAGAAATTAGCTTTTTTTCTTGAACTTTGAAACTGCACTTGAACAAATATGTAAAACAAATATGGGGAAAACATAAAAGAATTTTTGAGATTAAGTCTTTTTATGTTACTTATTTCTTTCATTTTGTGATATAAACCTGCTTTATTTTAGAAGTCTGTATCTTTTTGTGCCAGGCACTTTACATTTTGAATTCTACCAAATGTAGGAATATGGTGACAATGGAGATTAACCCAGGGATTAATGCAGAGAAACTCGTGTAGAGTAAAGAAGATTTTTAGAATGGATTTTAATTTTGTGGCCTTTCTGAGTCCAGATTGACTCAGAGTCAAGAGACCTGTACTCATCAGGTGTTTTGCTTAGTTCTAGTTCTCTCAAAGGCACAAAGTGGAATCTTACATTTGGTGCGTGTTAAAGAACTGTAAGTGTTTAATAGCAGTTTAATACCTCACAAATGGACCTTTTTGTTGTCGTTATAGTTCATTCCTTACTTAGCAAGTTTGAAAGTATTCTGCAGTGGATAAATGCTACTTACTCATGCAGCTGAGATGAGTGAGAAAACATAAGATGTAAGCCAGCTCTTACAAGTTGCCTCTGTACTTCCAGAATATATTTGAAGACCAAATTTCAGAGGTGATTATGTATTCTAGTCAAATGGAGTTTTGCATTTGGTCTTTCATTTTTAAAAGAAATTGAATGTGTTCTCATTCATTTGTAATGGAAATATAATGTTGAATCATTAGGTGATATAAATCTTCAAAGTACCATTTTTTCAGTCATGTCCTTTTCTTTAATGGAAATTTAAATCAGTAGAAAACAATAGAACAGATCTTTATTTAGTTGCAAATGTCAGAATCTGATTCTCCTCTATCTAAATCTTGTGCAGCCATATCTGCAGAGCAGACTTTGAACACTACCAGTCTGAAGCACTGAATGCTTTTGAGATTTTTTTTCTCCTGTGTTTCTTGAAAAAGTAACCAAGGTCCAATAGCAAATCAGGCCTGTTGAGTTTCTGCACAGAGCATGTGTGCTCAAACTTCAGGCTTCCTAAGCCAACAGTTCCTTTTATTCACTCATCATGAGCTTGATTCGTGATTGTGTTCTAAAAATATAGCAATATCTGTATATGTTTTTCTATTTAACCACTTTGTTTTGCCTCATGGTATTATTAACTATTTATTTCAGTTTATAGCCACTCTTTAGAAAGAGAGTTTCAGTTTTGGCATTTGAAGTATCGAGGGCATACACAGGCTCATAGTTTTGAAGTCAGTCTACATATATTGTCCTTCTGGGTTGAATTTGGTTGTAATCAGAGCTATCAGTTTTACCTTTTAAAATTAAATCATTGATCTTGTTTGAACCAGTTTCAGTTTCGAGGCAAATATGATTCTGTCTCTTAAAAGATTGAAGAGATTGAAGATTTAATAATTTTTTCCTGTAAATTTTCAGCAACAAAAGTAATCCTATGGCAAAAAAAAAAAAAAAAAATCCACGAGCAGATGGCTTTTGATATATCAAGGTTTTGCCATTTGTTTTAGTGCTTAAAATAAACATTATTTATAAGACCACTTACATTTTGATGTTACTTAATGAGGAATATGCATCATTGATTTGACTAGCTTAAGAGGTCATTTAGAACTTGCCCGTTAACAAGCTGTAATCTGCTGAGCACACAATGACTTTGTTTAAAATTATCTGTTCAGTGCTGATCAATGACAATAATTGTTTTGTACCAATCACTGTTGAAACTTGCTAATTACTTTGAAGGGCATACACACACTTGTCTCTTCTTTTTCAAGAATTTTTTAAGCATTCACCTTGGAATTAAAAGAAATGCAGTCATAACATTGTACTTCTTTATAAAAGGAAATATTTAGACCTTTTATGTTGAAAATATGAGCATCATCAGAAGCTTTTTATAAAATGGTCTTTCCTAAAGAGATTAATCTTCAGTTTTGGGATCTCTGACATACAGTATTAGGGAAACAGAAATCAGGCATAAAATAATCTGAGACTCTAAGCAGTTTTTCTTACTTAGGTTTCATTCAGCTGAAATCAGTGAGTTAATTCTGAACAGAAAGCGCTGTAAAAAAAGGTAGAATGCAGCATTTAATTGGTACACTGAGCCCATTGGAGGTAATTATGGCTTGGTACTATTTGAGCCTTTTGTCTTTCAGTTTGAGTTTTGATCCTTTAACTCAGAAATATCCAATTCTGCATTTATAACTGTGAGGTGAAGACTGTCAGAAAGAGTTTCAAAGGGACCATAATCCTGCATTAATGAGCACATAGCTATATGGGAGCCAAGTTGCTCTTGTTGAGAAATTTTGAAGCCAAACAGAAAAACAAAGCTAAGATCCTTATTCACATGCAAAGGATTTTTCTTAATCCCAGATCTCTGAAGACATACTCATTCTCTGCTCTTTCTGTATTCCTTTTTAACCCAATAAGCTTCTGTATGAGAAGATAGTGTTGCAAAGAATATGAAATTTACTATCACCTTGTGCAAAGCAGCATGTCTAGAACCTTTCTTGTTCACAGAACTCTTATTTGTTCATATTATAACAATATGTAGAGGTCCAAATCCCTTTCATTAAAAAAACAACAAAAAACTAAAACAAAAACAAAACTAAGACCAACATTAAAAAAAAATCCAAAAAAAACCCAAAACCAAAACAAATCAAAGCAAAACAAAACAACAATAAACAAAAAACAAAAAAAGCAAAACCAGAAAAAAACCCCAAAAACCAAACAAAACCAATCACAAACAAATAACAACATATAGGTAAAAAAATACAATTTTTGAAATTTGTTCAAGGCTTTTTTGGGAAGGGACAAAAATCCATGCTGATGCACAAAGGGGAAATAGAAGAATATATCAAAACTGGAAGTTACTATCTTCTTATTCTTAATAACTAACACATTCCTCAAAGAATTGCTGAATGCTTTTCTGTGATTCTTATTCTCTTGTTAAATCTTGCGTAAAAGGATAATTATAACTGTACCCCAAGGCGCCATCAGTGGAGGCCAAATGTTGATTTTTACTTTGAAGAATATTGTTTGGGGGTGTGTGAATGCAAAATGGTGCCAAAGTATGAAATATTCAGCCCTGCCTTGGTGTCATTTTAGATGGCTCCAGTAAAAGTCTGGAGGTGGAAAAATTTTATACTTTTGTCAGTTGTCACAGTGGTACAGACTGCACTGGAACTGGTAGGAATAGAATGAGTTTTGCCTGTTACTGAAGAGCACTCCCAAGACTTGATCATAAAGAATCTGAAATTACTGAGTGCAATTGTTACTGATAATCTGGGCATTTGGCAGCTTTTTAAAATTTGCCTTCTTCCTGAATCAAACACAAAAGCCATGACATTCTTTTCAATTCCTTTTTTTTAAAAAAGTTGCTTATTTAGAAAGAGGTAGGCTAGGAAAAAAAGGGAAATAGCACAACCACATGGGTTTCACTCCACTTAAAAAAGTCATTCCTTGGTTCTGGAAAGAGAAAGGTTGATGTAAAGAAAAAAAACTTCCTTATAGATACACTGAAAAGTTTGGTAGCTAGGTGCCCACAGGAAAAGGAGAGCTCTTAGTACATTGCAACATTTTACTTTTCTGTGCATTTAGATAAGGGGAGTTGCTTCTGGATAGTAAAACCTCCAAGTTTTTGCTTTTTAGGTTCTGCCTTTCAGCTGTTATGTCTTTTAAGATTTCAAAGCTATAAAGGTCAAAGAGATGGATGTTGAAGCAAATAAAGCAGCTACAGACTAGAAGATAGAAATTGTGAGATTAAAGTAAAAAAATATTGAGAAAAAAGGGAGACAAAATGCAATGAAGGAATAAAGAATACTTTGCAGGAAAATTAACAATAAGTTCAAGGATGAAAGAATTTAAATATGGAGGAGCTAGACCCTGAGAAGAGAGGAAAAGATGGTTACTCTGTTTATCAGATGTAGACATCCAGAGTACACTGACCTCTTATGGCAAGGAAAATCAGGAGTAAGAGCAGCCCTCAGTATGACTCATCAAATGGCAGTCCTGATAGCTTTTTATCTAATTACAGAATCATCTAGGTTGGGAAAGGCCTCTAAAGTCATTGAGTACAACCTTTGACTGATCACTATCTTGTCAATTAGACCATGGCACTAGGTGCCATGTTCATTTGTTTCTCACTCTTTCAGGGATGGTGGCTCCACCACTTCCCTGGGCAGCCCATTTCAATGCTTAATTTGGCATTCTTAATGCTTATTTTGCCATGCCAAAAAGCAAATAGTTGATAAACAGGTAATTATTTCAGAAACATCATTATTAGAATTTTCAAGTTTCAGATAAGGTTTCAACACATTTGTTAAAATCAGTTCTTGTGGAAAGTTGAGTAGACTAAGTACTTTTTTCCTACCCTTTTTTTTTTTTTTTCCCAAATGATGCTTTTCAAAATGCACCAAAATATTAACGCTTTTCGTTGGAGGATGCTACCTAATTTCTATTAATAATAAAAACTTATAACTAGCTACAGATAAAGAGCTTTTTTTCTCTAGGTTAGGCTTCGTCTGTTATGCAAGAGAATAGTTTTTCTTGAGAAGAATGAAGCTAATGTGGAACAAATAGACATGAATCATTTTACATTGGAGATGAAAGGAGTACAATTTATAAATGTACTTTCCAGAAAGTCTGATTCATTGATTTTCAGGGAAGCCTTTTGTTCACTTTACACCTTTACAGAGCACAAAGGTGAAAGTGTAGCAGGAGATGTTGGGGAGGTGGTGACTCAGTGCTACAATATGTTACAACCTTCACTAATTTCTTCATTGAAACTTACCAGTGCTTCTACTTGCTATCACTTTTAAGGAAAGAGGTACTTGGGATCTAGTACACATATTTGATATGCATGCAAACTTTTGATTTGAAATATACTAAGCAAGTATTTATTTCCTCCAGATCCAGAAAACATGGCGAGGCTACTACGTTCGGAAGTATATCCATAATTTTTATGCGCTGAAGAAATACCTGAAAGCTGTTTCTATGAATAATGAGTTTGTCAGGTAAAGATAAAAGCTCTATGTGCTAAAGCATTCATTTGCTCTTCTTTTATTTGTAGAAAGTTTGTGGCACTAATTAAACTATTTCTTTGAGTGTAGGTTCCCCTCCATTATCAAATATATATATCAGTCATCATTCTCTTTATCCTGTGCCTATTCATATTGCACCACATTCTGTTTTCATTTATACTGTTATGAATTCTGAATAATTTCTTTGAATTCATTAGGTGTGCTCTGAGTTTGTACTAGTTTAAGAAAAATTGATTTTTCACCTATGCTCACAACATGTAGGTTCTTATGCCCTAAATAGGGTTTGTTTAACTAGATTTTTTTCCCCAGTATACACAAGCTAACCAAAAATTTATTTTTATAATTTTTTTTTTAATATGGATTATTGAAAATGGATGCAAGGGCAGAATTGGATTTAAGTTTCATGCATGAGCCATACTATGAATATTAATTGGGAAAGAAACTGGTGTGGATACAGTAAAGCAGATTCTTTTCATAGTTACAGAAGAGAACCAATAGCCTGTCAGATTTCTGTCTAGAACTGTTCTTACTCTATGTTCTTACTCTATTTCTCCTATCCATCCATTTTACTTAAGCTGAAACTGGTACTTAAGCTGAAACCTCCCTAAGATAGAGGTAATTATTTCCCTCTAGTGGATTTGATATCCTGATCCATGACCATTACTCAGACAACAGTGGAAACAAACATGAAATGCTGGGTGACCATGATCATTACTCTCTTAGTGTAAATGAAAGCTGTTGGACAAAATCCATGCAGTGGTTTCCGTTCAGAATGTCTGAGACAAATCTCAAGTACAGAAATATAAGGGAATCTAGTAAACCAGTGTTTCTAGAAATCTTGTCTAAATCACATGGCAAAGACTGTTACATAAAGCAGCATATGCATGTTATATATGAAAAAATCCAGGATTATCCAACTTCTTTGTATGCTGGTTTTTAATGATATTATTCTTCCATGGTACAGCTGGTGCTACATCCTCTTGGTTATAACATTATGTCTTGTGCATTACATTGTTACCTATAATGAACCATACTGATAATCACCTACCTCTGATCTCTCATTATTATTCATTTAAGTGTACTCTATGCAGAAATGTAGGTCACAACTCAGCAAAACCAGACTTAAACATTCTATTATAGCTTCAATGCTATCTTGATCTGAAATCCCTGAAATATTCTCTCTTCTTGAAAAGGTAGAATTCTAGGATGACTAGACTAAATCTTGGAAAATAAGTGAAGCCGTGACTTCTCTGGTTTAAAATCCATACTACATGAATTGCAGAAACAGAACCTGCTTCTCTGCTCATAATTTTTCTATTACTCTTTTCCATTCCCTGCCTAAACCTAGACCATTGCTCGTAACTTTTTGCTTAGATTGACCTTTGATGTGTGCCAACAAAATAAGATAGCAAGTGGTATTCCTCCTGCACTGTGAACATGGATTGGCTGGAGCTTTGTATTTTATTTTCCCACATCCACTATAGATCTCCTCTGGGTATACCTAACTTTGGAAGACTACAGAAATATTTGGTTTTCAGTTCTTTGACATATTGATCAAATTCCCTAGTATTTAGTTTAGGTTAAAAACCATTAAAAACCATAAAGCCTATGCACTGCATAGATATTTTAAGCAAGAAACACTTTTGTGCTCTTTAACATGCAACATGAGCAGTATGAATTCAAGTACATCAAAATGTGTTCAAGTTGGTCTGTGTGAGCTCTTATCTGGCAAATGATATATTGATATTTTGCTAATTTGAGTTCTGTATTCCAGAGTTCACAGAAATATGTGTCTTTCAGGTGGAAAAAAAAATATGTCTTTTCAGTTTTAGAAAGTTAAAAATTAATTTTTGAGCTAATTTGGACAAATGGATCTTACTGTTGTTTCTGTTTTTAAAACACATGAGTTGCCAAGTGCAATCAAGAATCACTGCAGTAATCACTTTACTGGGGTACATTTGAAAACTAATATGTATATCACCTTCAACATTCTTCTTATGAAATCTAACAGATGTTTAGTGAGGATTAGGTGTAGGCCCTCAGCCAAACAGATTTTTCCTGTCACTGGGCTAAGCTGCTGCCAACTACTTTGGCCCCAAGGTAGGCCGCTGTGTTTCTTATGTGGAATATTGAGCCAGGTGGAGGAAATATTCTTGTCATATTTTCATTAGCCATCACATAGGCTCTGAAAAAGTAGAACCTCACTGTTCATAAACATTTTTGCATATAAAAATGATTGCAACTGTGCACTGTAAAAAACACAAGGAATTGTCAGAAATAGAAGGAATGCATTTATGAAATGGCTGGGTTTTATTAAAACATCAACATTATGCAAATTTACTTGTTAATGGGCAGAGAGACTGATACACTTGTGCACTTAGATTAGACTGCCTTTGAGTATTTCACATTTGTAGAACACCATAAAGCAACACAACGTGGAAGATTAAATAATGCACATGAATACATGAAACCGGCTCCTACCTCCCCCACAAAAAAAAAAAAGATATTTTTAATTTCAAAAATTTGTTTGCAATTTGTTTTTTCTAGAATTATGATGTAATTCTGAGTTAAACTACACTGTACAATTCTCTGTCTTATCTATTCTAGAGTAACACTGGCAGAATTTTTATTTGTCAATGCCTGTGTAAAAACACATTGCAAGTCTTTCTATCTTTTGGACACCAGAGCCAGGATTTGTGCCTAATTTTCTCCTCTTTCATTCAGGAGGAGCCTATATCAAATCATCCCTCACTCATTTCTAAGAGAAACTTCAGAGGAAGTTCTCATGAAACTTTGGACATTCTGTTAAGTTTCTTATAAGAGTATCTTAAAAGAGTTATTGACCAAAGTTTATTTTCTTCTCATTCCTCCTTTACCCATTTTTTTAAATTAAAGGACACTTCTAAGTGGTTTTCTCAACCTGTAGCCACATCTTTACCATTCAGCTTCAATACAAACTGTCCTTATTTAATAGCTGCCCTCATTTAGTAGCCAGACCATTATCATTTGTCTTTAGTGTGAAAACCCCAAGAGAAAGTAAACTTAATAGAAGCTGCCCCAGTTTAAAGCCATAGAGGAATATAATTAAGTTTAACAGAAATTGATTTAACAGAAATTGACCTAAAATATAATTAAATAATAATAGTCATATTATGTGTGAGTTTCTACTCACTTAACAGACTGGTTATGGCACTGATAGACTTAACAGACTTAAGGCACTGCCTTGGTACAAACTGAAGATAACTCTCAGCTTTAGCTCCTCGACTGGCTAAATTCCTCCAGCATTCCTATTACTTTCCACTGCTACAGAACCACTAGGTCTGGTGGCTGCTGGTGTCCCCAGTAGAGTCACTAGGAGTTATGTAGTGTTTGAAAGAATCCCTTCAGAGATGGAAAAGAACAAATTTGAACCCTAAATTCTGTCTGCATAAGGACATACTCAGATTTTTCCTAACATTTGTACAGTTTAGCTCCAGTTCAGTGTAGTGATGAAATTATTTCATTAGTCCTGAGTTCTCTTTTGCCTAAAAGATATAGGAAGTTCTTTATAAAGCAAGTAAGAACCTTGTTCTTAAATATTTATTTCACTATATTTTGTTATTTATATTTTAGTAATAAATCCTCATCTCTAGCATCCATTTTTACTTTAGTACCAATATGTATTGTATTCTATCTCAATATGGATTAGTTGGATGGTTTCATTTATAAATGTATGCATGAAAGTAAATTTCATTATTCTCAGTGCAGTTAATGTATTTAATTTTAAGGGAAAATACTTTCTTTTGAAACATTCTTAAAGGTGCATTTACCGTCTCTAAGAGCTGGCTAAATGGTTACAAGGGGAAATATGCCAAAAGCAATTAGCATTGGCTATAACTCCATATGATGCATTAGAATTTTGTTTTACATGAAACAGTTTCCAGTCCATGATAAGCAAATGGACATCAGTTCACATAAATTAGCATGCTGGTGCCATTATATCTGAAGAATTTATGGATGATGTCAGTTGCCCAACTGTGTGATTAACTTGCAGTTCTCTGCCTAAGGTTATCTACACACTGGCCTTTAAACTATAGTAGAGGAACTTTGCTGTATGTCAGGTGTGCAAGTAGAGATAAGATTTTGGGATGTATTGCTCCATTTACTGATGAATGGCACCATTTAAATTTTTCCCTAGGCACAGAACTGGGTAAAGAAAGCAGTATCAGGAAACTGACAAAGCAGTGGCAAAGTATTGGCATTGGGGTTCTTACATAATCAAGGCAGATAATTCACGTTTCTTGGCTACTGAATAAACACTGACTTAAAGGCAGCAAGCTAAGGCCTGAATCTACTTTTAATAAGCATCATAGTTTATGTAAACATTGCTGAGTTTATAAATCATGACTTTCACACACTTGCAGGACCAACACCAAATTCTTCTTTCCATTGTTGGCATTAGTAGTGAGTGGCCATGGAGAGTGTGGCTTTAATTCAAATTTGACTAGTTGTTCTATCTAGCAGATTTAGTTTCACAGTCATCATTAAAACCTCCAAGTCTTCAAGACATGTCAGGGAAATAGATAATACAAAGTGATAAAAATCACTTCTTTGGCAATATGTGTATTCACAAATCATTTGTGCAGCTTGATTTTTTTTTATAACCCTAATGAAGAGTGAAAGGAAAGAGTACTTACATGTTGCTGGTTATCTAATCTGATGTTTAGCTATTCTGTAAATACGCCTGAGAATGCAGAATGGAAAGAAGTAAGATTATCTATCTTATTCCAGATTACTATACCATTTCCGAAGTGTATTTTCATTAAACATGGCAAGTACTTGGCTTCCTAAAACTTTTGAGGCATAGCTATTTCCCATGGAGTGGGCTTGAAATAAATCATTCTTTGTCATGGTAATATGAGGAAAACTTGCTCAGCCTCCACCTTGCCAGTTCCTTTTTGATAATGGTAAGTCCATGTGCTGGCCATTTTCTC